ATGAGCCGGAGCATTTGCTCCTGCTTGGCTTTGAACTTGCTTATCTTTCTTATCTTTTGCTTGGTCATATCCATGTACTCATTCCGCCCTCCTATATCTTTATCTTTATCTTTACACTCAAGGTGTACCATTTAAACTATTGAGTACTGTTAGCGTGGGGCCAATCGTCCTAGACATTCAAAGAACAACAAAGAAAGCTTGTACTTGGATGAGTTAAGCAAAAGAAAGTATGCTGTCTATTGTAGAAAGAACTATCTGCTGTCTATTGTAGAAAGAATTTCCAAAATGAGTTGCAAAGTGCACGAAGATGAGAACTCTAGCAAGACAAAAACGGTCACTGTTGAATCAGAAGATTAGCGGAGGTCGCGGACAAGACTTGAGGAGGAGGAAAAAGTGTCCTGAGGAGCTTCCGGTAGAACGCAATTCCAGTGCACTGTAATCGCGTTATGAACCACCTAGATCCGAAAAGGGCGGAGTTGAAGATCTGACGGTACTTTGAACGGAAAACAGTATATAACAAGACAACAAACTGAGAGGACCAAATGTCACGACACCCTCCTCATTTTCTCTTTCTTTTGTATGATTTTAGGTCACTCTTATATTTTTGTTTATCCTCTTGAAGATCGTTTCTTTTTTTCTTCGTCAGTGATTGCATGTGTGATGGCCTTGCTGGTACTTTTTCTTTTCCTCCCTTTGATATCAAACCGTAGCATTCTTAAAATAAATGCTGTTTGGGAACTAGTGTAACCTCTTGGATGACAGGTAGAATTTATGTTCTAAAACGAATTTTTCAGCGGGTGAAAGTTGTTAAACTCGCAAGATAATGAGAGATTATGTCATGAGAGGGCCTAGAGTGATCCATACATTTTTTAACAGAAGGCAAGCGTTATGAAGCAAATTTATGCCGCACTCCCATTCGATATACCTTGCGGCGCAATTGCGTTGCGTCGCCTCTAATTGTGCTTGGAGGAGAGCTAGCGTTGCGGACTAGACCACGTCCCTTCTCTCCGCCCACATTTTAGCCTCATATGCAGCGCAGGGTCGATGCAACGTCCGATAAAATTTTTATGCAAAAGCAACAAAGAAGTTGGGATAAGGGAAAAAGAAGATCAAAAAAGGAGATGAAGGCGCGAAATCAAAGATCACAGGTGAGACGAAAAAAAGCGCGAAATCAATACTAATATCTACAAAAGGTTTTGCAAGTGCTCTATGAAGCTAGTAGTAGCCCAATCATCACAAATGTCCTCAAACCAAACTGATAATGTTCGATAATGCCGTCGATAAGCTGCTGGTCAGGTGTAGTCAACCAGCTCGAAACACTAGATTGGGAAGACGCGGAAAAGCTGTCAGTCCTCCTACATTTCTGCAGGAAAGGCTATCAGTTATGATCCGCTACAGCAGAGCCGTTAAAATGACCACCTCAGACATTGACATGGAACACGTGCTTGAGCAGCTATGGAATCTACCGGACGGATTTGCATTTCTGAAGCTGCAGGAACCCAACAAGCATATTTACATGTCAGAGAGATAGTTCAGCGCGCAATGGATGACGGAGTTCAGCGCGCAATGGATAACGGACTTTATGCCTTAACAGGGGATGGCGTACGTGAATTAATTTGCGGAATAAGCGCGGATCTCATGTGCGGGTCGAGAAGGGACACATCTACACTATTCACGGCGTCTGTAGAGGTGGGATAGAAGTTCTGATCATGCTCGTCATCATCCAACACAAAAAGGAGGAAGATTACATTGTTATCTTTGAGAATCTGAAAGAAGCGCTTCTGGGAACTTACCGGAATGCAAAGGAACTTACCCAATTCAAATTTATTGTGGATTTTGAGAGGGCCGCGATTAATGCGGCTCGTAGAATTTTCCCCAATATTTTATTCAGGGCTTTTCCTTTCTAACTCAGGCATGAGCTAGGAACAATAGCCTGGCTTACTGTATTAATTGAAGGGGGATAATCGGAATTGCGGGGTAATCCGATGATGGCGGACCTTGAAAGGTCTGCCTTTTCTTTCGAGAAAGCGCTTCTACCTAGTAAATGCCCTGCGCACACCACCGGTAGACGAGGCTCACCCCGCTTTTTGAGCTTGCCTGAGCTTCCTCACCTATTTGCACAAACATGGCTCACGGGACCATTTTCGTCCATGTGCAAATATATGGTGCATGAGGAAAGGACCACCGCGGTAAAGAATTATCACGAAAGACTATGGAAGATTCTCATGAAGAAACAGCCTTAGCATCCCTCTTGCTCGTGTTCGAAGCTCCACTTCAGTTGCAAAAGCAAAGCTTACTAGGATGGAAAGGGTGAGTTGGCTAAAAGCTACTCTGCCAACATGTTGAACATCATTTTTTAGTATCCTCGCGAAGGAAGAGCACTGAGAAAGCGCGATAGAATCCCTGTGAAAAATGGATCGCGTTATTAACACCTTTGAGGAACTTCGAGCTAGCCCTTATCTAACTACCGTAAGTTGGGCATTATCTGAGAACGATGTCGAAGTACACTTCAAATAAAGCCATTTGAAGCTGCATATATCTACCTCTATTCTAGCAGATTATATTTGAATATATATATATATATCAATGAACTTCGAGACTCTACACTCGTGTTTTGTACTTCTTTTTTTCAACTTTTTGCAGAGGCCTCTCCTTCCTTCCCTCCCTCCTCTTATTCTCCTCCCCTCTTCTCTCTACCTCCTCTTTCCTACGCTGCACTTCAGATTATTCATTGTCTCCAAAAATCAGTACGCAAAACTCTCTTCTTCTCGCTTTATCCAGAATCTTCTTCTATCCTTCGATCGCGTCCTTAGGGCACCATGCAAAGCGCGACGATGGCCTTGCACGGCGGCGTGGCAGGAGTTCCCAAAGCCTAGCCGCTTTTCCTCGCAGGGGTACTCGGCATTTCCAGAGATCCTTTGAAGGACATCATACCTTCTCGAGGCCAAATGGCGGCTTCGCCGATCACTCCTGTGCCCTCATTCTAAATTGTGTGCACGCACTGTAAGATATGCTTCTTTGTATATGAGGATAATAGAACTAGAACCGAGAAACAAAAAAAATTTCTAGGTTTCAAAGATTTAGAATCCATAAACGATTGCAGCCGAATTTCAGCATTTCGAGTTATGTTCTACTCGTTTTCGGTAAGACTGACGCGCTTCCTTGGAAACTTTTGAGTGCTCGTACTTCAGTAAGTTTGTGAAACATATCGCATTGATATAGATTAAGCAGAAGTTATGAGTCTTCCAAACACGGTATATAACAGAGAAGTTAGTTTATTTTACGCAAGTTCTGAGATCATCTAAGAATATAGCGAATTACCATGTATTGCAGAAAAGTGTCGTAGTTGGAACTCTTAGTTAACTCTTCGATCAGCGACGACTTTAGTATTCTAGTACATCGATTTTAGGAAATACTACACTTAAAATTCTCTTAACGATAATTTGAGCCTTACTGATCATTAGAGTAAATGGAATGAAAAACTTATTCGAATATATGCTGGCAGATGATAAAAAAGTATGTATTCAGATATCCTAGCTGTTGGGTAAAACGTTAAGTGCTTGTTCGGCAACTTTGGTATACTTCTTTCAAAATAGGTCTTTCTAGTGTTAAGAAGGAATTAGGTTCTCAAACTCCTGATGCTAAATTACTTCATTAGATGACCAGTAATGTACAATTGATCGACTAGATCCTCGAATATTTCGAATGACCGGATTTTCCATTCAAAAATTTTCTGCTATTTTCCTCTTCTTGAAGTAATGTTCATATCTTTTTTAAAAGGATGGCATAGCAAAGTTTCCAAGCCGCCTCAAAAATGCCGCCTCGAAATGATAATTATATTCCGCTTTTTCTCCATTTTTTCTCTTATTACCTTAATACCTGAATCTATGTTCTCGCTACTTGCACGCCTCACCATGAGGCCATTAAATGGGAGGAGCAATGGGCGGGTCCTGATCTCTGAGGCGAGGAGGTGTTAGAACCCTCCTGGGTGCGAATGCTGGCTGGTGCGAAGTTGGTGCGAGGAAAGGTGCTAGGAACTCCTGCACGCCCTCCGCCTTGCACCTGCAAAGGTCAGCGTTCAGCCTATCGATCGCGGTTAGCAACATATGTACAATGAAAAACTGTAGCAGTTGAAACGATGGATAGGAACCAAAGTACTCTCAAATAAAAAGATGAAAACAGAGGAAGACCAAACGCTAGATATCAAATTATCACGAGCAGTTGATATCAGAAAAAATACCAAAAAAATTAATGAACGTGAGTACCATAAACATTTGCAGATAAATTGTTTCCAAACAATTCCCATGTAGAATGCAAAACAGCGTTTATAGAAAAAAGGCAGAAATAAGACAAACTGCTAAGACTGATGTCATATCATCAGTGGATCTCTTATATGTTTGCGAATTAATTTCGTGCCTTCATCTCCTTTTGTGATCTCTTTTTTATCATTCTTTTTGCTTTCGCATAAAGATTTTATTGGACGTCGCGTTGAGCTTGCAGAGCTCCTTATGAAGCTAAAATGTGGGCGGAGCGAAGAGGCGTGGCCGTAATCTGCACCAACAGCCCTCCCCCATGCGCAATTGGCGGCGACGTAACCCAATTGCGCCGCAAGGTATACGAAGGGGATACGGCACACCTTTGCTCCATATCGCGGCACCGCCTTTTTTAACAACGCGAGCCTTACATGGAGGTTTTCCGGCCTCGGACTTTAACGCGACTCGTAGATATTAAGAAATGTAGAAATCTTAAGTCATCATCACCAGGGAAAACTCTGGTGCTTCTCTTATTCATTCCCGAAACTTCAACTTTGATAATCCAGACTTGTCGGAAAAATATGACCAGTGGATGCGGTTCATGAGTAAAAGTCTATCGGCACTGCTACGTAACATCCGCAAAATTCAGGCTTAAGTCCGTTATAACTCAGCGATTTCATCGAGAGATTCACGAGAATAATGCTCTCGCGAGTGCAGTCGGAAGGATTTGCACTCTATGTCGTGGCCCTATTTCTTATCACCAGCAGCCTTCAATGGTCCTTCAGCGGAGGTCATCCACATCCGACCGTAGAATCTCGCTGTGATCAGCGGAAACTTACCGATTAAGCTGTAGAACGTGTCCTACAAAGCATTCCTGTAGCAAGCACCTGGGAGCTCGTGAAGCGCATTACCTGGTTCCCAATTGTGCCGCTGATCAACTTTTCGTCATCAGCTAACGAAATTTTCTTCTTGCTCACTTCTGAACAGACGTGGTTGGTATTCTCCCAGCTCTCACATGACCTTCTATACCCAAAACATCCCATTCTCGCCCGCATCCCCAACCCGGACGAGGACACAACGGGCGACGATGATAGCGGTGTCGATCGTCAGCTGTAACTATTGTGATCGTTTATGCTTGGGTTCCTGCGGCACGGTGTTACAATAAATTTCCAACATCCTTTATCATTTTGACAAGATCAATTGTAGGAGTCATTCTGTGATGTTAGTATCTTATAGAGTTTTGAAGTGTGGTGTTGTTGTTGTACAACCCTTGGTTCAATGTTTATTAGTGATTCTTTCTATAATAGTATAAGGCATTGGCAAAGTCAGCTTAAAAGGTCGTCAAGTTTGCATCCGTTTACAGTGAAGTTTGACCATGGACGCCGTGCATGGCAGTGATGGAGAGAAGATCCAAAAGAAGTTCCCCCTGTGCTAGGACACTCCCAAACACCATTAAACGTATGTCAGGCCAGCTAACAATGCCAGAATTGCAAATGGTCACTGCAGTTAATGGAAGTCGTAATCAAGATTAACACAACTTACCAATGATTACCGTTACTAGCAGCATGGATTGGATTGCGGTGGTGTCAGAGTGTAAGCTACCGTCATAGATGTTGTCGTCATAGCAGATACAAACGAAGCCGGTGCTAGAGTTAAATAATTTCCACGCTCAAGACAGCAAGCAATTATAGCAGTCGATCAACATTTATAACAGGGAAGATGGTCGTTAGGGAATTTGCATTGCCGATTTCCGAAGGAATCAGTAAGAGGCAAAATGGCGATTAAATACCACATTTTATTCACGCCAGAGAACTTAACTGCGTAACCATTCTATTCTGTTTCGTGAGCGAACTGCAATGCGGATTATAGATGGGATTATGTATATAGCGACCAAATATGGCCATCAACGAAATTACGAGAAGCTAAACGAAACATGCAAAATGACACACTTTCGCTTCCGACTACGGCCACCTGCATCGCGGCGAAACAACAGCAGTTCAGAAAAGCGCAGACCATGAAAAACTTCTGCGCACTTCCTAATTTAAGCAACTCTAGAACTAAGCAAATAATTTCGTCTTAGTAACTTCGGAGTCGTCAGGTCATTGGTGATCAGGATGATAGTCGCGGGACACAAACTTTTGATACTCTGCAGATGTAAAGAGAATTTGCATGTGGTGCAAATTTGCATAAAGATGAGACCATCGGGGAAACGGTCACGACCAGGAGATTAGCGAAGGTCGCGGATAAAAGTTGAGGCAGAGGAAAAGTGACCTAAGAAGTTCCCAGCAGAACGCAATACTATAATCGCGTTATGAACAACCCAGACCCGCCAAAGGACGGAGACAAAGAACTGGCGGTACTCTGAACGGGAAGGAGTATATAGCAAAGAACAGAGTGAGAGTACGGAGTGCCACGACACCCGCACTTCTCTTTCCTTCTGTATGACTTCAGGTCAGTCCCCTATTGTTGTTCATCTCTTCGAGAACGTCCTTTTTTCTTTCGTCAATGGTTGCATGTGTGATAACCTTGCTATCTGATTACTTTTCCTTTTTCTGTCCTTTGATATCAAAGCGTAGCATTCTGAGGATAAATGTTGTTGGGAACTGGTGCAATCTTCTGAGGGGCGGGCGCAAATTATGTTCTAAGACGAGTTTCTTGAACTGCTGGAAGTCATTAGGATCGCAAGGTAATGAGAGATTTACATGGTATGAGAGGGCCTAGAGAGATCCTTGTGAACCACGCGAGCCTTACACTACCGCAATGCTTTTCTGTATTACTTTGTCTATAAATGTTTGATAAATGCTTAGTAAGGTCTTAGTTTAACAAACAAATATGACAACGTTACCGGGGAAGTCCAGCTTTAGCACCACTCATAACATAACGAAAACCTAATATCATAAAATGATTACATTTCTGACTTTCTAACCAAGAAATTCCATAAATCGAAAGCGCATTTTTTTAGCTCTATAATGCGAATACCTCTTCAAGGAATGAGTAGATGGACCAAGACGACCAGATTAATATGTTCCGTTTGAATAAGTTTGTCTTTTATTTGAGGCAGAAACACACCCATATTGTCACCTCACTGTACAGATACATCATCAATTATTACCTAAAATACAATACAACAATCAATAAATAGTCAAATGTACATCTTTTGGTATGTTATGTAAACTCTTATGAGCTTCGAAAAGCTCCGTCAACGCTTTGCAATATTCTGCATGTAGTTTGTCTATGTCTTCTTCCGAGGGACTCTCAACTCGTTCAACCCTAAAAACAAAAAATATTGTTATTTTCTAACTTTTGCTTTGCCATAGCCTACCTTATAGGTGCTCCCATGACTGTCGTGATTGGTCTTCGGTGTGGCAGCAAGCCGAATGTATAGTTGAAGATTCCGCGACCCTTAGCTAGCGGAGGACAAAAGCCCCACCACCTTTTCACGAATTCCTGAATTTGTGGGTTTTTGTGATTTTGATGGGAAAACTCGACATATCAATGCCTGCCTACCTGAAACTTCCTTAAAGCAGTTCCTCGTGGGCTTGGAACAGTGTCAAAAACATCATTTTCTCCGAAATTATACATAGGCACCAAATCCGCACTAAATGAAACATTCATTGAAGCAATCAAAAAATATTTTGATATATTCTGGGGGACGAGTGGGGTAGTGGTATGAGGTGCCGCTATGACCAGATCGGACGCAGGTTCGATCCCCGCCCCTGGGCCAACCAAGCCCTCTACCCTCCGGGGCTGGTAAATTGGTACCAGAGTAATCTGGGAGGATAAAAGCACTGACTTGAAAACGGCTGGCCCCCGCAAGTCACTGTAACAGGCTCGCACGCATACAATTGCCTCTTCGACTATGAAGTTAGGTGCGTTCGGCGCATGCCCTCAAAGGGTATTGAAGACGCCGAATTCTTTATCCTTCTATTTACTCTGTTTTATGCATTTCATGAACGTGCACCGCCGCACAAAAATAATCCTACTACAATAACCGCTAAGGCCGTCTGTTTTTTTTTGTGTGTCTATGTGTCTGTGTAAAAATCTGTCTGTTACGAAATTCATAGAGAAAGTTGCAACTAAGCTATCGGACTGCAATTTTGCATAACATACCGTGCCAGCGTGTAGGCCCACCAAGCGCAAGGACGAGCCGGTTCGATTAGCGGGTCCCTCAAAGTTTGCGCGTCAAACGCGTCCACCCTTTTGGCACGCAAAACTGGGTCGCTAATTCGACTTTTTGCAAAGTTATGATTTGCCTGACAAGTAACTGTGCGCGCCATGAATTCTAGCCCAAAAAGTGCTCAAAAAGTTTGCTTTTTTGCGAAAACAGCGCCAAGAAGTTATGAATGCGTAGATAGTCGATTTGGCAAGGTTTTATTTGAAAAAACTGAAAAGATTTTTGCACTGAGATGTAGCCCAAGGTGACTATTATTCTTACGACGATTATCGAACTATCAAATTCGCATTTGTTTCCTTGCAACGAAGTTTTTTTCTCAAAATTACCGATTTTACATGGAGATGCTTCAAGAATGAACAATTGTTTACGATTCATTTGTGATGCTCAGCATCGCGTGGTGAGTTTTAAAGCCATTCTCATGCGAACATGAGAAACGCATACGGATAGGGAGCCAGTGCCAACCTCGCGAAGCGGAGGTGACGCACTGGTGATAAACAAAATGAATGAGTAAATGATTACATTGGCGGAATGGATAGCTGAAACGTTTGACTTTTTGAAAAATCTCAAAAAAAGAGCTAAGAAGCTGATCGAAGAAAAGCTACATTTGAGTACTTCGTTTATATCAGGCAAAGGAGGAAATATACACATTTTTATACATTTTTCTTCCAGGATTTTGTGTGAACACCAAGTAAGACCAAGACGAGCCACTTACCCGTATTTCAAAGCAAATCGGCAAAATCCTCGCCGTGACGAAAGATGTAGAACGTGCGCGCCAGGACAAGCATCAAGTAGCTCCTGTGCTCCGCCGAGCACTATTGCGATAGCACGACCTGTAAAGCTTATGGTTAACCTATTGATATACTTGATTTAAAAAAGCGAGAGAAATGAGGATGAGGAGGGGAAGGGGGGGGGAGGAAACAGAAAAGCGGAAAGAGTTTTGACCAAGAATTAAAATTTTACACATTCGACCAATTGATCAAATGGTTCACAGGCTCAAGGAATAGAGGGGCGAGACCAGCAGCAGTGAGGATGAGAGGTGGGGAGGGTGCGAATGAGAGGAATGCTTTTTGGAACGTTCGCCAGCGTAGCGCTGATTGGTCAGCACACCGGCCTGCTATTAGGCGACTTTGAGCAGGGCGGAACAAAGCTGGAAAACTATTGTTCATGAAAATTGAAGTGAGCAGAGATGTTGGGCTTGTTGCCACATTTGTAAAAAAATTTTGTGAAAATTATTGCTAAAGTTCCTATAACACATAGATCTGGAAATTTTTTGAGAACTAGGTAATTTTTCGTTTTATGTTCGCTCAAGCCTGGCCCAAATTGAGGTTCAATAGGAAAGAATTCAACCATGCAATGTAAAAAGCTCACCTTTTCCTGGATTTTCCAAAAGATACTGCAAAGATTCCCGAGAGGCTTCAACGCCACCTAAAAAACTTTCCGATTATCACATAAATTTTCTCCATGTCAGCTCAAAACTTACCCAAACCTATACTTATCTCTCTCCTGAATGGGAACCAAAATTGCCCATTCAATGTCAAAATTGTTGGTTTTAGTCCAGGAAACTTCTCCGGGAATCCTGTCGCATTCGTGATCATGGTCGTAAATGCCCCTATGGAGAGGATGCCATGCGGATGAGAGCTGAATATGGGTTATTTGATGCTTGTAGGGATTTTGGAGTTAACCTTACCCAATGATATAATTCCTATCTGGAGGTAACTCGGCAGTTTTGACTAATCGTAACGGGAAGTAATCAGCAAATTGCTTCCATAGTGGGTGGTTTTTATACCAGGTCTACAACAAATCTTCAATATTATACCGATAAAATTTGGTATTTGGTTAACTCACCCAGTTACGTGAGCCTCTACGAGGTTTGCGGAAATCGTAAATGGTCCATATTGCATATATTACCATAGTCCACCAATAGGACGTGTGGAAGAAGATATAGAATGGTAACTAAAATCAAATAGTTGAATGTTGATAGCATTTCAACCAAAGCCTCTTTCAAACACAGTGTCCCTTCTGCGTGCGGCTATTCGTCCGCGGCGCGTGGACTAGCGCGCTGCCTTCCGACCGATGAGGTTGATTTGACCGCGCAAGCAAACTCCTCGACGCCGCGCAAGGCACCCGTGAAGCGACAGTCAAATGGGGACACAGCGCTTGAAAGGGATTGTAGATATTACTTACCCATACTGAGATGAAAGGTACGATAAGCCATATAAAGATGAAATGAGCAACAGCTAGGGTCTCCAGTCGCCTTTTAAACGGCACTAGCATTGGTGCCCAATCGATCCCAAGAAAATGTATTGGATGGGTGAATGGGCTGGAAAGAGTTGAATGGGATTGGTCAGGTAAAGTTTTATGAGTGTTAAACATCAAAAAGTAGAGATTTTTACGGAAAAGGAGGCATTGCCTGATAAGATTGCACTTTGAAAAAAAATCAGTGGAGACTTCTTGACAATATAGATCTGGTTAATAGGCTGGAGTTGGTAATTTATCAATTTTGGAAGAACTTCGATTCTTGGAAAAGAAAGTGCAAGTAAAACTTCAAAGTTCTCCGTTCCCCTTTTCAAATAACATATTAGGCGGTTACATAAGTTCGATAGTTATTTTTATTGTCGTGTTTTGAAGAAACGATTGGTTTATGGCAGACTACCTATACCATTCGAAAAAGCTATTATTGCTGTACACCACCTATCCTTCACTTTGGAAGAAAACTCAAAACCCTTTGTTTCATGACTTCTAAAAGCGAAATTTTTTGAGAGGCAAAAATTGGCGATTACGGCACCTGCGCTTTCCGAATTTAGTCCGTACCCCACAGAATTTTTCTTCATTGATGGGCGGAATAGCTGGTAGCAAGCAATATTGGTATACTGCCAAAATAGCAGCACACCAGTGGCGGTCCGAGGGAGGGGGAGGGCGGGAGCGGGGCCCGATCATATCCCACACTTTCTAAATTTGGTCCATACCCCCCCCCCTTCCGAGAATGGGTCGCGAAATTTTTGAAATCTACTTACGTGGGTATAAAAATGTGCAAGCAACTTGTTTATTCTTGTGAATAATTAAAATAATATTTAAAATTTTTGAAAAATTCAAGTTAGCCTTGCAAAAGAAAATTTTCGGCTCACCTTGACCCATGCATGATTTTGTCTAAGTGGTGCAAATGTCTAAATACAAGCTCTGGCTAGCCGAAGCATTTTCAAAATAAATTTATTTACAGAATTCTTTTCTTTGTGCTAAACGCAAAACACCTGCACATATGGTGAAAGTGCGCTACGTCCTTGTTTGTAGAGTTTCTTTTGACATGAAGTCGATGTTATAGGCCATCCGCGCTGCGCACGGAGAGCAACGCTGTTGCGTCTATTGAAGATAGTTCATGACTGGAAGAGGCGCAGAGAAAACAGGCGACGAGAGTTCACGGGGAAAGAGGAGTGATGCGCAATACACACCTTGCGCACTCTTCGTGCCCTGCGCGGATGGGCTATAGTGTACAAAACACCTACCTTAAACAGTTGTTACTCTTACTCATAGCGATTTTGGATGACAAATTCCTACTAGTGCTTTCCGTATATGGAGTGGAAGATGCATGTGCCGGAATTGCCAACTTTGCCACTCAAAAAACTTTGCTTTGAGAGGTCATGTATCGAAGGATATCAGGTTTGCTGCGAACTGAAGGACAGGTGTTGTAAAGCAAAATTTGCGTTTTCATTGGTATATAGCCGATTCGTTGACCGCACGGACTGAACATCACTGCGGAGCACGCGCTGCGTAATAAAACGCTTGCTCCAATACAAATTCGCCATTGTATAAGTGCTCTCGCAACATTTCAGCCGCGCCGCGCGTGGGCCGCAGGATGTGAGCGGTCCGTGCGGTCAATGAATCAACGAATAGGTAGTTTGCCGTGCACCACGCACTTCTCCAAGAAACGACTATAAAAATAAAAACTCCACGAACTCATGAAACGACTTAATAGTTAGTCATATCATGTAGCACTGTTGAGGAAGCTTGAAATACAAGCCCAAGTGGGCGTGGCAGACCGCGGAGCTAGGTTTGTGACATTGCAAAACCATTTTGCTATGTCCCGCTTTTACCTATAAAAATGAATCAAAGGCGGACAGTGGCAATAGAAGTCTTAAAATTTGCATGAAATACTGTTTTGAAGCAAAGTAATCTTTTAGATTTAGCGGTAAACATAGATCTCTTATTGTCAACTCAGAAAAGAAGAGAATGCTGCCGAAATTCCTGGTGCACTCCGCATTCGATTACCGAGCATGAATAGTAGTCTAGTGGTCATTGACACTTTAGTGGAGATGTCCTTTTTGATTTGATTAAACTTTTGTACCAAAAGTACAAGATTGCACCATCAGCAAACTTCTTCGCACATTAGTACTCAAGAATCTGCACTATAGGAATGGATGACTGTCATAAAGACCATGCACTGTGAATACACAGACATCTCTCCTTTCCAAGCCCAAATAAAGTATTTTAACCAAAAAAAGTCAATGAAACTGTAAGAAAGCAAGCTGCCTCAGCTAGTATTAACACGTTTCAGACTGCGAGTTTGTGCGCGGCGAAATGACGTGCCACACCATGTATTGCACGAGGGACATTGGAGACCAATTTTTTTCGTTGCATAATTCGAGCTAAGTTTGTGATTAACACGTTTCGGATCATCGCGGAATTGCGATCTGTATTCTGATCGCAAAGCTTGCAGCTGCGTGAAGACACAGCTTCAGATTAACACGTGTGCTCTTGGAAGGACTGGCTTTGGTAACTTCACTTTGACTAAGACAGCGACCGCGCCTCGCCTCGTCAGAACCGTCGCTTCCCGCCATCGCCCACTAACCTCATCATCAAATATTCTCGCCTCATATATTTTGTATGGTGTGGTTCATGCAGTAAATCGTAAAGAAGACGTGGTGAACAATTGGAAGTGGTCAGAGCGAACACACGGACCAGTGCTGCACAAAGGTGCATCATCGAGTTTGCAACTGTTTCTGCTTCCCACTCTTCTGATCTAAGAATGTCATTGTAAAGGCACATGCTGTCCATACCTTCCTGGTCATGCACCAGCTTACTTCTTTCGCTCCAAGCAGCGACAAACAGTAAGCATTCGCAAACTGACGCAGCGTTGCGAGCGTCGCTTGCGGCGAAACCTTCGCGGGATTTATTTTTGAATGGCTAATTCGAATTTTCAAGGGGATTCCGCTCGTTACAAGGCGTAAGAACTGGATAAGGACACGCCTTACACTTTACGCCTTACGCACAACACTTGGCTTAAAGGCAGCGTCCAGGAGAATCTGGGCCTATGGGGATCTCCTTTGAAGGGTAATCTTGGAGGCCTAACTAAAACACTGCCCAAGCGGCAGCTCAAATGGTGAGCTCACAGTTGAGATATTCGCCTCCAAACTGGACCCTGGGATCGTACTCGCATGGATTCATGGCGCGACACATCAGTTTCGCGTAGATCCTCGCGCGAAAGCGCCACGAATCCATGCGAATACGATCACTGCGTCCAGTTTGGAGGCGAATATCTCAACTGCGAGTTTACCACTTGAGCTTTCGCCTGGGCAGTGTCTTAGTTAGGGCCCCAAAATTACTTTCCACAACAGAACCCCGTATGTCCAGATTTGCCTAGACGCTGCCTTTAACTTGACACGTTTCACCGCAAATCGCGCGGCAAAATGGCGTGCTACATCATGTGTAGCTCGAGGGACGTTGGTGACCGACTTTTTTCGCCGCATAGTTCGAGCTGAGTTCATCTCCTATGGGTACCTCCACACTGTTCATCATTTGACTTCGCGGTCATATATTTTATAACGAAAGCAAGAGCAATATGTCTACCCCAAAATGCGTTCTAAAATTTCAAAGTCTTGAATTCTTCTCAAACTGGGGCTATGCGGTCATCTGACACTGTGACCACGAATATCAAACTTTTCTCACGCCAAAACGCCCTTTTGTCTGGTTATGGTGGATATATAATATCTACTCCACGACGAAGGCGGTCGCCCAAATAGGTTGAAAGCATGCAAGGTTGACGCACGCCGGCGCGTGGGCAATTATCAACCATTGGGCGCGTACGGTCGGTCAGTCATCCGCGGGCGCCCCATTGTTGATAAATGCCCGTGCGTCGCGTGCGCGTCAGCATTGCATGTTTTATACCTATTCGGGCGACCGCCTTCGTCATGGAGCAGATTTTAGTGAGTCAAAAATGCCGAATTTGCTTAGAATTTCCTGTATAAGGCTTCCTCGGCTTCCCTATCACGAATTTGATTTTGATTGTGCCTAAATGATTTTTTGTGCGCTTCACGTGGGTTAGTGGGGGTTACGCACTAACCAGATTCAAGCTTTTGGTCCGATTCGGTCAGCCATATACCCTGAATATCGGAACATGGCACTACTTTGCAAAACCAACACAATATTCGTGATCAGCGTTTTATCTCTGATTTTGACATTTGTGCAGCATGCCTTCCTACCATAACCACACAAAGAGGGCCTGTTATCTTTAAAATAGGAAAGGTTTGTTCTCTAACTAGCTCTTGTGTTTTCCTACTTCTTGCAACGATCGGAACTCCCTCAAAAATGCGACTTAGCCAGTTCAAAAATGAATCGCGCGAAGGTTTTTTCGCGCGCGACGTTCGCAACGCCGCGCCAACTTGCGAATGTTTACTGTTTGTCGCTGCTTGGCGCGAACGAAGTAAGCTGGCGCATGACTAGGAAGATGTTTTGGACAGTAGATTTGTGCCGTTACAATGACATTCTTATATCGGAAGAAGACCATTGTGGGAAGCCGGAGACAGTTGCAAACTCGGTGATGCACCATGCGCAGCACTGGTCCGAAACGTGTTAAGAACCACAATAAGTGAAAAACCTCTAGTTGCTTTACTCGCATGTCGAAATCTCAAAAGGCATCGATGATTGTAAAAAATTGTTCGCTAGCATTTCTTCTTTTACTCAACATTTCATCATAATCACATGCTTAAACTACATGAAACTCTAGATGAACTTACAGTTTCTTAAAATGTAAACTTTCTGCGACTTTTTAAACTCATTGCAGAGAACTAGGCAAATAAATGTTAATACTCACCTTTTCAACTTATTTATGACCTTGTCAAGACTTCCATCGAATAGATCGAACTGATTGTTCAAATACATGATTTCTGAAATTATGAACTCATTAATATCCATGGATTGCTGCATAAAGGGCTAGAGAGGGAAAATTTACGAAGATAAAAGCTTATGTTTGTTCGAAAAGAATTGTAAAATGCAACATTTTTGAAATCTCATTTCCATTTAAAGCATATTCCACAGTTTCGGAGTGCGCAAACAAACATCATCATTCAAACGAAACGGAGTGAAAGTGTAATGAATACAAATTATCTTTTATTATTGAAAAACCAAAAAAAACATTGAAAAAACCATCTGCAAAATTTGAAGTTTCTAAGTTTTTAGCAGATGACAACAGCAAGGAAGTTTTTACAGCAGATGAGGGACAGTTTAAATACTTCCTGACCTGAAGCTCACCTCTTATAGGGCATTAGCACCCCACTTATAGTTACCATTAACTAGTTATGTATCAAGGTGGTCAAGAATGCACGGAAGTCCTTGAGACATTACGCAATGAGCAAGGAACTCGTTTTTTTTTCTCGAACTCATTCGCTCAGCGTAAGTGTACGGTAACTCGAGTAACAATAACATTCGCGCGATGAGTACTCACATTGGTTAATATGAGGAGTAAACAGTGTATTAATTCATACGCTTTGCTTGCAAGCGTTTCTTACTCTTGCATACCCCATCTAACCCTTTGATCAAGTTTTATTGTGAGATCGATTGTTCACCAAGCTCTCAATTTCCCTGGTCCAAATCTAGGTTGCCGGGATAGCCAACTACTAGGCTGTCCCAAAAATTTCGGTTGATTAGGTTGTCCCGAAAGTTCCGTTGTTTCAATTTTAAGAATTTGTAACTTTTCGCCATCGTCACATTTCCTTCTTCGAGATTTATCGAAAAATTGAGTCTTCCTCCTTGATAACATGTCTTATGAACTTCTAAATGGGAAAGGAAGACGTCAGTACGTAAGTTTTATACCTACTTACCTAAAACAGTTTGTGTTATGTAGATGTTCTACGAGAACGATTTTCGAGTTCACAACAGGTGACGTTAAAATTGAGTAATTTTTCACTTTTCCGGAAAATCATGAATTTTTACAGAAACGTCCAAACAGCAGCACAAACTTTTAAGTTGCAAAGACTGGATAATAAAACTTGTGTACTGACGTTTTCGGATTTTTCTGCAACTTCCCAGATTTTTGGCGAACTAACTTATAATGGTTACAGTTTGAGTAGTCTTCTTTTTTTTCATTTATATCCAGTGAAAGCATAGTGGAAGCTCAACGTATAGAGGAGTCGTTGTACACAAAGATTGGACACGTTGCGTCTGAGTGTGATAGTTCTTATTTGAAAGAGACAGCAGGCGGCAAGAGCGATGAAAGAGTGCGCGATATGAGAGACGTTGATAGCGTCCGCAGTCTGTCTCTGCGTGCAATGAATGGACTATATGTAACTATGAAGGGGCAGACTTTTTCTTTCTAGTAAGTTCAGATAGAATCGAGTCCGCCAAGATAGCAAAAATTGACAAATCTTCAAAAATCAAATGATGAAACTTTCGGGACAACCTATAAATTTCAAAAAAAAATCAGGAATTATCCTTGACGATGAAAAGCATAAGCATTTGAATATGTGTTCAGTGTATTTTTGTTTCAGTATGCTTCCAATAATCTATGATTTTCAAGTTTCATTCGATAAGTAAGATTGATGGAACTTTTGATACTTCTAAACTCATGTGCGGTCTGAGCTGTTTACCGAATAGATCATCGAATGCCAGTAAAGTAATCGAATTTATTTGCAAATAATCATAACTAAAATCTAGCAATGATTCTTCGAGATAGTCTTGCGATAGCTACCACCGCATTTGATATGCTGAGATGATTTTTTCAGAAACTGAAGAAATTTGGACATTCTTATAAGATTGCTCGAATGACCACCATAACACCCGACTGCATAAATCATAGAAAATATGGCTATACTAAGAGGAGTAGCTAAATTGAGTGCACACCCCAGTATGCTACTCGGTTAATATTTTAGGTCGGAGCAAAATAGTTTTGACCCTTAGAGCTTGAAAAGCTTGCGAAGCTCAAAAATACAATAACCACAAGTGATGTACACGTAGAAACAATACACCACCATACTGCAACGTATTCTACAATACTTGAAGGGCTCTGCAGGTGAGATTTGCTTGTAATTGTAAAAAATGTTAGAAAATACCAAATCGATCGAATGACTGAATTAATTCAAATAATCAAGTCAAACATATTTGAAGAATCACTTGGAGCATAAAAATGCCAGAGGAAAAGAGTGTTGCTAACACCGAGATGGGGAAGAAGACCTAATCGTTATCTTATATCCTACGATGACCCGTGAACGCCGGAAGGCCCCTTAGGCTAGTTTTACCGGGGTAGCTTTCTATTTCCTCTCTTTCGGTTACCATCGCTGGGTCAGTCAATTCAAATTCGCAGGCAGCTTGAGTAGAATTTGCACTGGATCATAAGGATGAGGCCTCCTCAGTATTGGGGATCAAGGGATCAAAGAAAATATATTGGTGGTCAGCGAAGTCAGAGGAAGCTAGCTCCAGGACAAAATTCGGAATCTTTTCAAGAGGGCAGGTTATGAGAAACATCTCAACACAGAACTGATAGTGGAGTATCACCTAAATATAGGGTTCATTGTCAGATAGTAAGGTCATTAAATGCAGATAAGCTCACATGATTAGAAAGTCCAGGGCAAGAACATCTCTTGGTACAGGACTATGATCCTTCGGTAGGTCATAAAAACAGCCGAAAAAATGGGAAATTCAAAAAATTTCTTTTAGCTGATAATGAAAGGGCACACAAAAAATGTGAATGAATGAGGAACATATCGCTCTATAGTTGACCTACGCACTATCATTGACAACTAAAGCAATGAGCACTGTTTATGACTAGGACAAAGTTTCTTTTGTGGCGATAAGGCACTACCTACTTCCCTATTATCACACCGTAGCTGAATAAAAACCGAGAGAACCATTATTTTTGAAAATTTCCCATCAAGAACAATGCCAGGCACCTCTGGTGCCATGCACTATGCAAATGAAACTAATGATAAGAAATTCTTCACATTTATTTGTCAGTTGACAGCTACTCATAGCATGAAATATCACGAGTGCTATGTTATTTGACAAAATTTAAGAGTGCAAAATGTGCGCAACAGCTGCTCTTGGACTTTCGACTTGATCGCTCTGTGCTCTAGGCTTCATTTTACTGCGTTGTAGCAGCTCAGCATAAAGCAAGAAGTGTTTTTCATGTGGTTAACCTATGGCATATAACCGGGGTTCGGCGCGAGCTGGCACCAAGAAAACTTCAGAGCGAAGTGCCCTTTGATCTTGAAAAATTTCGTACGAAATCCCCTTCTTTGACCTTAAACCCTAAACGTTAAAAACCCTAAAAAACAAAAATTGTGTCTTCGTGTTTTTATGCCACAAAAACGATATCCCCTTTGTTTTTCGTCCTAAAAACGATATCAGCTTGACCCCGGTGCTATGCCGAGCCCTGCATATAATCATCCATAAAAAAAATAATAAAAAGACAAAAGGAGAGGAAGATGATGTTAAAGTGATTAATGAGCATCATAGCTGGAGATGAAGGGTCCATTTTTGAACCATTCGTCTTCCAATGATCGAAAAATTTCGGTTAGCGGAACTTCCAAGATTGAGGTAAAAGTACAAAGATGTTTTTTTCTTATAGGATTCAAATAGGAGGTTGTGCTCATCACCTTAGCTACCCCACCGAAGCTACTGTAATGGCTTGACTCGCACCAACGATAACTCGTTTGAATAAGTAACCCTTAGAACTCCATCATAATTTGAACTATAACACTGCAGTATCAAGAAAATTATTCTTATACAGAGTGTCCCAAAAGTATGTATGTATACACTGTTTGATCGTTAATGTCTCTTTTCCCAAGAAGTCTTTTGCCTACCTTTAGATACCATTTTGTAGAGCTGGCTTCAGCTTAGATTTACCATATGGAGCGAAACACAGATCGCTCTTCATTACTGTAGGATTATGGTAGGAAATTTACTTACAGCGTCATTGTGAATTAATCGTAGTTCAACAAAGTTTCCGAAAAATCTGAAAAGTGATGTACTATGGTTTTCGCACGCTGATTTTAATACTCAACTTTTTACGAGTTTGCAGAGCTTTTTAAATGGTTTAAACACAATTTTAGGGAGCATTAATTAAAGCAGCTATTGCTGTTTATCTGCATAACTTATGATGAAAGCACTGCGGCGAAGTGCAAACTACATATTCGGTTTGAGCGGCTTGACTTGGCCTAGTACAAAAGTTTTCAGGTTGTTTGGTTTGCTTTTTGGGGCGAAATAGGGCCTCTAATGGCTTGCAGCCCTTCTTGGAGTTTCTACCGTAATTCCACAGTAATGAAGAGCGACCGGTACGTTCCATACTGTAAATCCAAGTTAAAGCCAACTCTACAAATCTTGTTTGGAGGTGGCAAAAGACCTTTTGGGAAAAGAGATATTAACGATCAAACAGTGTATACATACTTTTGGGACACCCTGTATATTAGGAATCTCTACTGTTCCAGTTTTTTACTACTTCTTCCGTCTCTACTGATCTCTACTTTCACGCTGACAACATCGCAAGACCCCTTTTCTTGATCCGGAGGAAACGATGTTTTTGGAAAGCTTCTTTTTTTAATCAGTCCAACTATTTTCGTACATGCTATTTTTACTCCGTTTTTTTGTGTTTTCGATGGATCTTGCTTCTGCCTATGACTATACAACGTCGCAAAGAATACTTTTTTGCTTATGCCAATTTTTTTGCGAAAATTAGTAGAGTGCGTTCTTCTTTACTTCGTTCTTTTTCACTGCTTTCGCAAGGAATTTTTTCCAACTTGGACGATACTTGCTCAGAATGATGAGCGGAAGAACAACGTCCAGACAACGTCGCAGGATACAGGAGCAACAATGCGGGTGTAAAAATCTAAAGGACACATCAAAAATCAGATTGACGTCGATGTGCAACGTATTTTTTCAGAAAGAGGATTCGTTACCGCCATAGTTAAACATCGTTTTTTTGGTTTGAAATTTGGTTACGCTGCTTCTGCTTTCTACGATTTCTTTCACGTCTCCTTTGCTTCGTATCTCTTAATTTCCATCTATTTTTCTCAAACAACCTTCACTTTTTACACGAGCAGGAGCTGAACGACTTTCCTTTCTGGGTTCCATCTCTTGATTATCGAAGGTATGCTGGAAACTTCGACCAGAAGATTTTGATGTGTATTAGCATCTCCCAAAACTAGGCCCTCCAATCAATTTTCTGTTTGAAAAACCGCTTTTATTCTCTATAAGGCCCATTACTTTCGAATCACCCTAATATCCCCGTTTTCTCAACTCTCTATACCATATCGCATTGTTTCGATAAGTTCTTCCCCATTCACACGATCAAAGTACTTTTGAATTTTTGCTCTAGCCATGTGCTCTTGTCACAAGTTTCAAGGTGTTCCTGTTGAGCTTGAGTGTTCTGTGATTTCTGTGTTATTATCTCTTGTGTAAAGCAGCTTACTACACTACGAGCTTATCGCAGTGTCACACATGCACGTGGGCGCATAGTGTTAGTGTCCTTTGGTTACGTCATAGAACCGAAATAAACAAAATTTGAACCTTGACCCATCTGCTAGAGTGTACTTTGAAATCATTTCGGTTGTGCTGCAAGCTTGAGGAGAATCACCTCTGAAAAAGCTATCAAAATTCCATTGAGAGTAACATTTACCACGTTTCGGACCGCGAAATCGCGCGCGGCGAAAAAGAGTGTACTTTCAGCCGTTAGCCTACAAAGGGACCTTATTTCGCAGCCTGTGGGCCACATTTGTAATCAGCATGTCAGATAAGCTCCATATCCAAAGTTCTGAGTGAATTCGAAGTGTTTGAATTTTGTTGCTTGAGAGGGACTTTTGTGCTTTCTTGATAGGAACAAGAAACCCGTTTCTAATAGTATTCAAGAAAATCTATGTTGTACACCGTACACATCAGTATTGAAACTACGGTTTTTCTCTTTGATATCGAAGCAAAGGGAAGTTGCGACGTCGCACGCGTCGTTCGCGTCGCCGCACTTCGTTGCAACTGTTGCTCGATTTGTGCTCATATCTCCTAAACAAATATCGGCGGCACAACTCTACAGAGTCACTTGGAAAGTAGAAGCTTTAGCCTTTGACTTGATAACCTTGGGCTGAGAGAAAACCTCCTGTAAACGTCAAGAAGATCCTTCAAAGCAGGGTGCTGCACCATGTGCAGCACCGGTTCGAAACGTGTTACTTAAGAGGAAGTTGGTAATGCTTTCACATACGCATATGCTCTAGTGCCGCGGGAGAGAGGTTGTATGAGACAATTACAATGGACGAGCTCACTAACCCATTAACGACGATGTGGATCACCGGTGGCCTACGCAGTTTTTGCTGCCAAGGACGATGTAGACCACCGGTGGCTCACACCTGTTGCAAAGCCATATCCTTTGCAGGTCTAGTATCTCTTCCGAATATCAATATTTTTCAATTTTGTTGCACTCTTGGGACTTGTGGGCTCATTACAAAACAACCCTGCATTTCGTGATTAACCACCTTCCCACGGAAAGTGTTGTGCAAAGTCGCGTCGTCTCACAAGGCCGCCACAAAATTAGGCGTCATCGTCAATAAGTTAAATCGTGAATGTCCCATCGAGGAGGACCCAAAGTACGACTACGACCGCCTTCTGAAAGGATTGCGAGGCTGCAAGAATGTGTAACACATGAGAAGAACTTAGAACAACATCTTGAAGATCACCAAGGGATTGCTCGAGAGAAGAGCCTAGAGGAGGATGCAAAAGCAACTCACATCGAGCTACAAATAGCGAAAGCCACCTCTAAAACAGCATGACAGGAAATTTTTATTGAGGCAAGCGAAGATTGCAAGCAGAGGGAACGAAGCTCCAAGAACGCCAAAAGAACCTCTGTGATATCACGTACCGCTGGCAGCACTATTACACAATGACGGAATCCATTTTTGCGACATAAGATGAATTTCGTGAAGAACTTCCACTCCACTCCCTCCTCATCAATATCCATGCCTATACCCGTCGTTCCCAGTGGCGAAGTAACACCACGGATACTACCTGTTAAAGTCGCACCGCGATCCACTTTGAAGACATCCACGTCATTAGGAGCAGATCAGATTTCTGCCGAACTTCTGCGAGCCTGCAGATCATCCTTGTTTTGTGCGAAGCTATTTAACAATCTCTTTGCTTCACCAAATTTCCATCAGTGCAAGTCTTTAGATTTTCATCATAGGTACAGATTTTTATTACAGAAAAAGTATATTGTTGATACAGTTATTAAAATAAGTGGTCCGCACCCACCAGTTCTAATATCTGTTAAGGTGCACCCTGGCTTAATCTCGCGTTTTGTTGATACTTTTGTTCTCTAAAGAGTTGGAATCTCCTCTGTAGTCGACAAGGTGTTTGGTCGGATAGTTCACCTATGCGTCTCCGACTTTTCAGAATCTGAAGAAGGCGAGTCTGTCGAAATGTCAGTCTGTATATTGTGGAAGAAGTAAAGTATCTGTAGCAATCTTGGACGCTGCTAAAGAAATCAACCAGAAGATTCAGACTATGCCAAGAATTATGGATAATCAAACATGGATTCTAATTAACGATGTGCCTTCATTTCATGTTGGTAGCAGTACCCTTTAATTCAACTGGCTTGACGGCTGGGAGGCGGGACTTCGCGACCTAATTAAGGTTAAGTAATAATTAGAGGGCACACGCGAGTGAGAGACGCAGACTGCGTAGCGGGCGAGCGGCCTTAATTAGTTCACAAAGCCCCGCCTTCCAGCCGCCAAGCCAGTTGAATCAAAGGTTATATAAACGTATGACATATATCAGTGTAGACGTTTGTTTTAGTACTCTTCCCATAGACCTTGCTTGCAAAAGCGAGGGTAAGTACCCAAGGCCAGGAATATTATTGTTGTAGTTGTCACTCGTTTGCTTAGCGAATGAGTTTGATGAGGGAAAACCAAAACTGGTCTTACCGACTACGTGCTATTCGAGCATTTATTTACATCTACATATTTTTTTGAATTGTTTGTATTTATATCTGAAAAACCGGTAAACAAAAATTAGTGAAAATGTTTATTTCTTTTTTGAAAAATACTTAATTTACAAGCTTATGCTCAAAAGCAAAGTAAGTGAATTGGACGTAGTCTTAGGTTGATGCATTGCAACTGCGACAGGGTTTTTTTGAACTTGGTTATGATTTCCTGCTAGAATTTGTTTTTCTAAACCTCAAAAACATTTCCTCAAGGTTTAACATGATCTGAAGAGCAAAAAAATGATCGCAGGTTATACAAGTGTGTATTGTGATTTTCACAAATTATTACAGCATTTTTCGAAAAAATCAGAAATCCGAAGAGGTGTAAAACGTGCAAAAACGCAGCTGCAGTAATGCATCAGCTCTACGACTACGAACTTGTTGCAGAAAGCTTTCCAGTATGAATTGTTGACTATGAAAGTAAGTGGCATTCCGTACCAGTAACAGATTAGACAGATGAAGAAACCTGATTAGCTTAGGTTGATCGACTACGTACATATAGCAAAGTTCCAAAGGTTCTTGACTTGCAGGCCGGGACCAGACCAGAATTTTCAGCTAGCTGCTCCAAAAAGTTCTGCCATTTCTCTGAAGGCTTCTTCGAGGTGACCGCGAAATTTAGCAGAGCTCTGAAAATTTTTATTTAGGAAAGTAAAAATGCTCTCGAAGAAAGGTTATCTTACCGTATTCTCAGCTGACTTGTAGCTGCTGATATGAGCTAGAATAGTGTGATTACCGCCGAATCGGTAGCATATACCTGGAAATAGCTGGTTACACATACAGAGCCCTAAACGGTAATGCAGGTCAACCTACCGTAACCCTTCTTTGCTACTGCACCAAAGCATGCTCCACTCCATGTTCGCCATGGTTCCACATCTTCGTCTAGTTGATTTGTGACCACTGGGACCTGCAAGGACTTTTTAAGAAAACGTCAAGTTTAGGAAGGCGGCTTACGTGTGAAGTAGACAGAAGCCACTGCTGGGAGATGTAAAAATCAAGAAAAGGGCTTGAGATGAGGGTTCCTTGAGAAAGCACATAAAGGACGAAGAGATGTCGGTCGATGCCTCCTCCGACCTGAAAAAGGAGACCGCATTTTCTTTGAATGAAACGCAAACTATGCCAGAAGTAGAACAATCAGCAAATTCTAACATTCATACATAGTGTTTGCTATTTATTGTGCCTTATGTAGATGAATAAGCTAAAAAAATCAATAAGCAACTTCTTCTAGGAGAAGATGAAAAACGCCGTGGATTACCAAAAACCTTATTCATTTTTAGCTTTTTTGATTTTTCTGTGTAAGCTTGAACCCACTTAATATGAATCTAGCAAAGAATATATGACTACATGTTTATGATTAATAAAGTAAAGAATTACCATAGCTTCTCTATTCCTATTGACGTGCAGCTCACATGCGATTCGTAGCCTTTTGATCTTTTCTTCTTTCTGAAATAAGTCAACTAATAACTTCACTACGACTAATTATATTTCAACCTACAGATGCATTTCCATTAATCATTGCATAAACAAACTCGCAGGACTCGTCAGTTACAGTCCGAAGAGTCTCCGTACGCGAGTTTTTGTAAAATCTTGCCGAAGCCGGCTCGTATGTAAGCACGAAACGCCCTTGATCCTGTCAAAAATAGTGATAAATATCAAATTGTCAAAAATTTAGTTTGAATAGAGGTTCACTTTGTAATTAGCTAGTTGAATAGCCATCTGGACGAACCCATCTGGAGATAAGCCACATTTCTTGATAAATCCTTTGCCATAATCTCTGGAAAGCACATTTTTATACAAAGAAAAAGATTTACAGCTCAAATAAGAATTTCGATCATGAACAGAAGAATCCTCAGGAAGAGGAAAAAGGTTACACTGTTTACTTTCGGTTAATCTTTCAAATTTGTTCTTGTTCATTAATAGCAAAATTCGTTACAAGTATAATCGAGTTTTATCTAGAGTTCATTCGGGTCAGAAAATGTAAGCAGAATTTCTTTTCTTGCCTTCACGAACATCAAAACGTTAAATTTCTCACATTCGTTAGAATAGAAGTTAAAATTATAAACAGCAAGCTAAGACAATTATCTTTAGCTTATGCAAAACAGCGTTCCATATTTGTTTTTTTTTCAGCAAAACGAACTATCGTATAAAAACCAGGACTCGGCACGAGGTGGCTTACAAGCAAGCTGGATATCGTTTTTGGGACGAAAAGCAAAGGGGGTTTCGTTTTTGTGACCGAAGAGACACGGAAAATTGGCGACGGCGACCTTTTCTTTTAGTCGACGTTTCGTTTTTTGGGGGATTTGTATTTAGAGGAAATTTGGTTGAGGGTCAAAGGGGACTTCGTAAAAATTCCCAAAAGTCAAGGGGGACTTCGTTTTTTCCATTTTCATCTAGCCACCTCGTGCCGAGCCCTGATAAAAACGTAACCCCAAAGTCTAACCTTTTCTATTCGCTTAAAATAGAATCGTCCCTTGCAAGAAAAATTTTAATCGCGTATCTCAACACCTCTCATTCAATGCAATGCGAATTGAATAAATTGCACAAAGCAACTCTTCCTTGGTGCTTGTGTTTTCTAGAAAAAAAAGGTGGATTCACTAATGTCGTGCACGATTCTTGGTAAAGGATTGATCATTAAAGGCTCATCTTTTCTTTTTATTCTGAGCTTACTTGAAAACAGTTGCTGCTAAGTCAACATCGTCCCTCAGCTTTGAGTACTGATCGTAGCATCTCTGGATAGCTGTGCTCATCTATAAATGGTATTATTTTGAAAAGACACCAATATTCAAGTAATTTACCTCATCGTTAACTTCCACAGGTAATTTTTCCGCAAGAATGATATCGCGATCATTTTTGCTTAATTGCTCAATTTGACGCTGTTCTTCGAGTGAGGCATATCTAAAGATTCTATATAATGTTTCTACATGAAAATACCAAACCGCAGTGAACTTGCTTCATCAAAATGTCGTTAGTCGCGTAGTTTTCCATAAGGTGGTCAAATTCTGCTCCATCAGCTATGGAATGTTCGGTAGTACCTCCACACTACAAAACTAATAAAGATAGAGGCTGTAAAAAGAGGTTCGTTTGTGTTTTCACCCTTGCATTCTTCGCTGCCAAATAGTTCAGAGATTTATCCGCCCAACGATCCACACCATTCCCCGTGAGCATTTTACAAAGAAAATGTGAAAGTTCGTCCACACTATTCTAAAGTTATGCTGATTTCGAATGTAAAACAAGGGGAACAAGAATTGATCTACCGGATCTTTCCTATACTCCTCGTCGTCTAATGTGAGAATAAAGGCAGCTGATTCGATCTCATGTAATGTAGCGGCATTTGTTGGATGGTTGACAAAGAACTTCTCTCGATTTTGAGCCCATTCGTCGCTAAAATAACCTATACTGCAAGAGAATATGCCGTAAACTTCAGACCGTACTTGTCACTGTAAGTTCAAAAAGTAGTGTAATTAACAAAATGAGGGTGAAATTGCAGAACTGGATATAGTTTGATATAAATAATATAGTTTTAAATTTTGAGCTCAACCTGATTTCATATACTTTTTTTTGATAATGCATGTTCTATTGTACGTTGTGTTCTACGGTGAAAAAAAATGAGATGCACAAATTCTAAAAAAACATAAAGCCTACCGTCTATCAGTTGTCAATGCAGCAACCATGCTCTCAGGACCCTGTACAGCATCGTTTCGTGAGATGAGTTCCGCATAAATTCTAAAAGTGGCTTACGTTCTTGCAAGTAAAAGAATACCATTTCTGATGTGAGCTTACTTAGCTAGCTGATCAATGCTGTAGATACGATTATTCTTATCACAACATGTGACTTTGTAGAAGCATCCATTCAATATGGCCACGACATGCTTGGAAATACCTGAAGCATAGATTGTAGATTCAATTGAGGATATAAAAGTAGTTAGCTTACCGTAATTTTCTAAATGATCTATTTCTTCGCCAGGTACACGGCAAACACTGTAAAGCTTATCATAGTGGCAAGCACAGAGTAGACCATCGCCCAACTAAATCGTACTTCATTATAATTGTAATATTCAAATATTGTTATTCTTAATACTATTTTGCCATAATATTTTTTCAATACTGCGGAAGTCATTGCGAATTCGCTTCTATTTTATAGGTAGTAGACATCGAAAGAGATTGTGGCTTATGAGAGACGCAGACAGTCCGCATTTACGCCCAATCCGCGCGCAAAATTTAGCGATATTTGAAAAACGAAGGTTACCCACCGGTTTGATCTCTTGCCGATCGATAGCCAATTGAGACATAAATTCAAAATAAGTTGCACGAGCTGCCATATAAGCCCTAGTTGCACGTCGATGCTCGGGAATTTCAATGAGGTCAATGTGAGCTACACTGCTGTTGACGAGAAGGGGCTCCCTAAACAATATTTAAACTTCGCGGATGTTGTAATCTATTGAATTTGGAGGCCAATGCAGTGTTTTTGCGTCCCAGCAGCATTTGCGCGTAAACAGTGAGGCACAAGATGCGCAAGTCGCAAGCATGTTGGCGGTAATTAAGAGCACGACATTTGTTTTCGCGCTAATGTTGTCGTCACCGCAAGCGCACTGTATTGATTGCTAAACTAATCTGTACAAAAGTTAAAATTCCCCTACCTATTGTAATGATACGCATATTTCTCCCAAAACGGAGTGATATAGTTACTTGACGTCATCGACATTAACCATGCGTACTTTTGCAGGCGTTTTCCTTCATTTTCTAAGAACGATTGGGCCAGCTCCTCGACATGTGCGTATTCATCTTTCCTCAAGATATTTCTGACAGACTTGAGGTACTTCTCAATTGTTTTCTCCAGATTGGGTACAGAAGGGCTGGGCAGAAGACTATCACAGGATTTCAGAATAGGAGGCGATATGGAGAGGAGCTTGCGACAAACCTGAATCATTTTTATATGAATTGTTCATACATTAGTTCGTTTATTGATTGGGAATAAATCTCTAGCATAAGAAAACTCACTCCCCATAGTTTTGTAGTCAGTGACGGCTTCTTTGGATTTTCGAAAAGGAATCCTTTGTAGGAAAAGTAGAATGAACTGAGAAATTGTCTTAGCAGCAGGATGGGAATATAAGTTCCAGTTAGAGATAGGATGCAAATTTTTGCCCACTGAAATATTATCAATAAATCCAAAGTAAATGCTAAATTTAGGAAAAATCTGGCATACTTCGGCAGCTCTGTTGCTAAATTCTGGTATAAAATCGAACAACGGTATCGCTCCATATTTTACTTGTATAGCTCCAAGAGAAGCTACTCCGGCGATAAAATATGGTGGTCGCACTGGCCATAGCCGATTATCCAGAGAATTCTGTAATGGTATGAATATAAGTTGGTTTTCTCCGAGTAAAGGAGTAGTGGAGTAAAGAACCCGAGTCTCACAAAATTGATAAAAAGTCAGAAAAAAGTTCTACGAAACAAGTGGGCATGGTGACAATGCAGCTTTCATTAAGGATTAAAAAGGTTGTAAAAAGGTTGAAAAGCTAGAACTCCGTTATTTAAATACTCAAATAACTTTGAAAGAAGTTTGACATCCAGAAAAATCATGTAAGCTGTCTGAAGTCTGAAATCGAAATCGAAAACAAGCTCAACAATTAAAACAGATATGGTACAACACGACTGATAGTTTACGGGAATAAAAAAAGTTTTATAATGTAGATACAACAAATAATCATCATTGAAGGAAGCGAAAGGTTTCATCGCTATGATACGACATGGACAATCAGTCGATGCATTCAGACACACTTTAAACCGTATTGACAAATTTCTGAAACTATTGCAAAAAATGCACGCATAGGCCATTCTGCTGTGTATTCGATCGCTGTTAACAGCGTTTCAACATTCATGTCTCCCTACATCGTTTATTTTCAAACACGTTTTTTTCGCAATATTTAGTTAATTTCCTTGCAAAAGTTCTTGTTTTGTTCTTGTTTCTTATTCATGGATTTCCCACTAAAAGTAGAAGCTGTGGAAGGCAATTGCTGACCCAAGGCTGATACAGCTTTATATATGTACGTAAAAGGTATAAAAATTTTATGGAGATGCATCACGCGTCCAAAAGGTGTCTAATTTCAAATTTCTAGTGAATTGTGAGCCGATAGATTTACGGATATCAATCAAAATTGGAAAACTGCCATTTTTACCGGATTTCAATACTTTACCGCAGAAAATATCTACTTCTACCAACAAAGGCATTCAACTAACATCTTGAGCCCTGGAAACACTATTTCAAACAGCCCCATTTGAGCAAGAATTCATTTATGCAGCATTCTACAAGCCCAAAAATCTCATCTAATTCAGAAACATTTTGCATAAAATTGCATAGATTTCATGGTCATAGTACAAGAATGCGCATATCTCAGGTGATGATCAAAATAATATGTCGCGCGTATAACTAGCATACAGTTGTTTTCAATACGTGTTGGTTTTTTCTACCGTATGCCTTCCAGCCTCACCATGACGTGGATCGGTGTGGATTGGTGTGGATTGGTGCGGCGCCGCCGAGAAAAGCAACGCGGCGCAAACCCGAAGCGATGCGGCGCCTCACCAATCCATACCAATCCACACCAATCCACGTCATGTTGAGGCTGGAAATTAGAAAAAACCAATACTTATTGAAAACAACTGTATGTACATTGGTTTTTTCTACCGTATGCCTTCCAGCCTCAACATGACGTGGATTGGTGTTGATTGGTGTGGATTGGTGAGGCGCCGCCGAGAAAAGCAACGCAGCGCAAACCCGAAGAGATGCGGCGCCTCACCAATCCACACCAATCCACGTCATGTTGAGGCTGGAAGGCATACGGGAGAAAAAAGCATTACGTATTGAAAACGACTATACATTCGTTCAGTTTTTTTTAATTGTCGTTTTTGGTTTTATTCAACAATTGTTCTCAATCTAAATCTGAAGAAGTTACAGTAAGACCATTTTTAACTTCAGTATATTTCGCACAAAAGAGCTTTTTTTCTTATTCAGACCTTAGTACAGCTATGTGAAATATAGGTTTGAAGTCAACTACTGTCGTGCAAAGTGTCACTCATAACAAAAGCACTTGAACAGCTATGACGTTTGTGTAAAGTGTAAAGTTTTCTAAAACAATAAGGCTGAACTGCAGTCATTCTGCATGGCTTATGTTCAAAGTCTTGCTGTAATTTTATCCATAAGCAGATCTTTGTTAGCTCGCATTTGTATGCATACTCTGATCCTTGTAAGAATGTAATTATTCTGCATACAAACATATGCATTGAATTAAAAATTGTTTTTGAAAGAATTAAAGCGTACACGGGCTTTATTGGACTTTACAACAACGTTTGTTAGAAATTTACGCTGCTCTAATTTTATGCTAATCCTAGCTTTTTCCTCAGTTTAAAAAAAAGAGATCAGTGCTTCGGCAATCACAGGAAGTGGTTAGAAGTGAGAGTAGTTCAAAAAACCATGTCCTATTCTACAGTGGCGTACCCAGGATCTCCGTCCGGAGGGAGGTGGGGGGGGGGACAGATTTGATAAAGGTGCGTGGCATTAGCCGCCTCCGAAAAATTTTTTGGAACGATTTCTAAGTTTTTCAAGGGGCCATATCCCGAAAATTCCAGATAAAGTAGGCGTGGCGTCAGCTACCCCCTGAAAGAAAACCTTCTATAAGGCTAAATTCACACTTTAAAAGCTTAAGTTATTCCAATCTTTTAAAGGTATACGCAAGTCATTTGCAATTCTTTACAACTTTTTTTTACAACTGTAGGCAAATTTCAACAATTTCACAACCCATCGTCGAAAGAGGGGGAGGCGTCTCCCTTTTTCTCGGTACCCCACTGCCATTCTACCATCTTCTACTCATCTAATGTTTTACGAGCATCAAAAAGTTGAAATTTTTGGACAAGAAGGACACAGTAAAATGTGCTGATAAGTAAATAGAAACATTAACACAAACTCTGATAATCACAGCAAATTTTCTTGATCCCCTCCCTCTTCACTTTGTTATTGACAAAAGAGTTAGAAGTGTTCGCCACTTTGGCCTGACCCACCTCCCTCACAGATTAGATTGCAAATATGGAAGAAAATGCGCTCTTCAAGAAAAATGTAGGCAAACAAAAGTCTCATCACAGACAATTTCAGCGATCGTAGGACTGCTGCGAGAGAAGGAAAATGGTAATATTTAGTTTTTTTTTACCGAAATGGAATACTATGTACCGGCTATATGAGAAAATTCTACTTGGATAGTGAATAAAAATGAAAATCTGTAATTTACAAGGATGAAGAATGTTCCCAATCTAGACAAAAAGATTAGCTGATGATTGTGAATTGTTTTCGTTGCAGGCTATTGTATTAACATGTTAGGTCTGTAATTTTGGGGGGATATGAAAGTGTTCCAAGATTTTCATATTATGCAGTTTGTAACATAAAACAAACGGTCCATTTTTCTTGTATACCTCTGAACTTTTACTAACAAAATGGTCGTTGAGTAAACCAAAAATGTAGATGTTTGATGAAAATTGATAGCACGGATTTTTTTTAGGTTACAGAAGTAGGCAAAAAATCAAAACTCAGAATGTAATTTATTGGGCTTTCCCGCATTTTTTAAGAATATTAAAAAATACAAAATTCACTTGTCTTTCTTTATTCTTGTCTCGATATGGTCTTACAAAAAGACAGGCTTTCAAAATATAAGCGAGAGCATGGTTTTCTTCTCCAACATACGCGATTACGAACCGGGTATATGTCAAGATGAACGATAGCTGGTACTAGTGGCGCGCGGGGTCATGAACTGGCAATAACGTGTTCGCTCGAAGCTCCACCCTACTGCGGCGGACGAGTTTCTCGGACGATACTTTTAATAGTGAGATACAAGCTTGTTGCAAGCTGCGGTGAAGCTTGATATTTACAGAATTTGTTTTGATTTTCTTTTCTTTTTTGGCAATCAATGAATAGCTGATGTGTTGGTCGTGAAATTCGATAGATTTGCTGATTTACCTATGAATGACCGACTGACTCCTGGATATCCAACTTTGAAGTGTGAAATCAATCTAGAACACCTCAGGCATGATTGAAAAAACTAATCTATAATGAAAAATGATCTGAAAACTTTAATTTAATTGAAATTTTGAAATCTACTGTTACCCAAATTGCAACCAACTGCAGAAGCATGAACGAAGTATTAGAGAGTTTTCCAATAGCGCAACGCATTCCTAGGCTAATTAACAAGGGGGCGGAGCGATCAGCGCACCGCGTACAGTACCCAGCTGGCGGCTGGCACATGCTATCGTTCATCTTGACCGCCACCCTTACGAACCATAACAAATTTGTGAGAAATTACGAATTTTTAGAAAATCTTGCAGCAAGACTTTGAAGTCAACCTAGCTGTAAAACTTAGAGCTTCTTAAATCTTCTCCAGCCTACAACATTTACTCGTCTCTCTTCTTTCTCAAGATGCAAATCTTTGCTTCTATTTCAGTCCTTTTATAGGTAAGAAGACATGTACTGCCAACGCTTAGTCCTACCCCTCGCCCGTGCTACCACTTCTACGAGATTTCTTCCTATTTTCCGAGCAGAAAAAGTTCTGGCATCTCGGTCTCTTCACATCTCACTTGCTAATAAGGATGTTGACAGTGCAGCAAAGTACATAGGAGCAGGAGCTGCCACAATTGGAGCGGCTGGCTCAGGAGCAGGGATAGGAAGCGTATTTGCGGCCCTTATTTCCGGATACGCCAGAAACCCAAAGCTTAAGATGGAGTTGTTCTCATGTGCTCTTCTCGGTTTTGCACTTTCGGAGCTTCTGGGACTTTTTTGTATTACTATGGCCTTCATGATATTATTTGCATTTTGAGCCAATATTGTCACAAAATAGGTTGCCTATTTTTGAAATTTTATTACAAATGAACGGTCATGACATCTTTGAATGTCAATCTTTGGTCCAAATTTATATACAGAAATGCTGACCATGCTCCGCTACGCGTCATTATAACGTCTAAATTGGCTGCATTTCGAGTGCTGTATATCATACTGTAGAAAAATGGAGGTGGAAAGGAAAAAAATGGACGAAGGAGCAAAAAGAAGTAAGTAAAATTACAAAATTATGCAAAAAGCTTGTGATTGATAAAACAGTAAATGAAGTGTCAGTAAAATTTTGAAGGGCTCTTTCATAGTTTATCTGCAGTCGGATCATTTGCAAAATTTGTGTAATGTACATTGCGCGCGATATCCTACGACTTACATACTTACATTTTGCCAAACACACAGCATTCTTTTTGAATTTTCTTTCTTTCACTCCAATTAGGTTTAAGCAGATCAGTTAGCACCTTCAATGTTACATTGAGCGCCCGCCACACTCGATCAACTTGATCTATTAGGTTGTAAAGAAAGTTCCCGGGCACTTTTGGAAATTTCATTTTCAAACGTATTTTTTCGGCGCTCGGTCAGACTTTGACACCAAGTTTTTTATACTGTTCAGTATAGGGAAGTCTGAAGCTTTCATTGAGCCTTCTGACTATTATCGATGCCAAGATGTATTTGATCTGCACGTCAAAAAGAGAAATCTTTCCAACCGTAAAAATTTCACTATTTTTCTTCCTACGGCCATTTTTTTGTGCAAGTCGAAGATTTTCGTCCAATTCATGGGTGATTTGATTGAGAAGCCTGTTGACTAGTGATCCGCCGCTGCACTCGAGTTTTGCGATTTGCGCTCAGAAATTACAAGCTGTCAAACTTGCCTCTGACTGCAACTCTTTTCGCAGCTGGCGTCGCTTCTGCGGGGATTGCCACGCCTGGATGATGGGTCCAAAATATGTGTAAGGCATTACCCCAACAATATTCCCAGTAATCAAAGATTTGGTCCTTTCTGTGCAGAACTAGAAGACTACAAAGTCACATACTCAAAAAATGGTGCATTTTTGGGGGCAAAAAATGGTCGATTTTTCAAATTTTCTGGGAAAAAACTTTCTGCAGGTGGTCCCTCAAAGAAATAAATGGTCCGCATAACAGCCCCAGCAGACCTCTACATAACCACAGCATCTGGGCTCTCCACCTCTTATCATGCCTGAGATAATCCTGCACAAACAGGCCACTTTTCGCGACGACCTTTTTCCCTTCTGCGCATGCTGGTGGACCGCAGTAAGGTGCTGAGAAGCCAGCAACACAAATGTATGTTATGGACAAAATCGTCTTTGCAACGAAGTTTGTAGCTTCAAAAAAGAATCAATCTACTTGAAGTTACAGCGATTTGAAAAAAATTTTCGCAAGTGCCCGGGAACTTTCTTTACAACCTAATACTTCTCCACTTCGCTATTGGCCAAATTACTGATTTGACAAATAGCAAAGCTTGATTCACTCTACCCAATTATGCCTTTTCGCTTTTGGATCAGTAAATCGACTTTTTCGTTGAAATTAAGTCGTCGTTAGATGTGGCGAACTGTGTGCAATTTCACAAGATTAGTCACAAGCGGCCAATTCATACTTTTCTGAAAGAGAATCTTTTCTTCGCCATCTTGTCCATTAAAATTTCTATGTGAAAGCCACAGCTGCGAAAAACATGTCACCGCGGTGAACTTTGTTCAATGCTCTAGCAGACTAAAGCGTAGGATGCATTGTTCAAACAAAAACTTCTTTATCTTTACCACGTGCTCTTCAGGTAAACGAAGGGGAAAGTTTCAAAAAGTGTAAACCAGCTTACAAATTATTTGGTACTAAGATGCTCAAAATTTTTATAGAACAAAAAGACCCCCAAAATCGCCTCGTAATAAATCAATGTGCTTCAGAATTGACTTGCTTCAAATCTCATACAATTGTGTTGTGGTTTTCTATGGGATTTTTCAGTACAAGGTTTTGTATACATGTTTAAGAACACAGTTACTTCTTTCAGTCTCTCGAATATCAATTAAAATAAAAATGTACGGGAAAAGCCGTGAACATCTACTTCGAAAAGCATTTAACAAGCTATTATTTGCCAACCACTCCAACAGAAACAGTTTACAGCAGCCGATGATGAATAACAAACAAGAGGAACAATGACGAACACCGCCCATCATATCTATGTCTGATAACAAAAAAAAATTCAAAATGTTTAGAAAATAAAAATTCGAATATTGGGTTGATTCAAAAGTATTGTCGCTTCATTCGTAACTGCTCTCTACGTGAGCGGATTGACTTACAAAAAAAACCTCCAAGTAGAAAAATTCATTTACTTTCTAATCAAATTTTCGCTTCTCTTTAACGATAAAGGAATTCAGAGATAATAATTCGAATAGGAGAACCATCCTAGAACTCGTGATTTTCGAAAACCAATCATTAAAAATCTGAAACAAAAATCTGAGAGCATGATTTTTGAGGGCTTTGTAGCTGCTTTTTCTGATAGTGTCATGTTTGTACTGATGGAGCTTTTCTAGGAAAAGTTATGATTTTCGTGAAAAATGCAAAAAAATGGCAAGAATGATTTTTCTCGCATCTTTCCGCATTCTCTCGAAAATCATATATTTCGTAAAAAGCTCGATCAGCACCAGCTTGTCACCGATACAAAGAGCAGTTTACAAAACCTGCAATAAACACGCTTTCAGATTCGTTTACTTTGAAAAATCGGGGAGTTTGAGCGGTTCACCTATTCCAGTTTTTATGTCTAGAGTCAATTGTTCTCAAAAAGCGGTGAAGACTTGATTGGAAAGTAGAAGAATTTTTTTATGTAATAGTTTGTAACTCAATAAGTCTACATAGGGAGCAATTACGAATTTGTCAAAGCGGCAGAACTTTTGATCTACCTAATATGATTGATTTTGAAAGTCCTTTGATTACTCTTTACTTCATTACGAGTTATGAAATTACATATACCTTAGTTTTATATTTTACTTTACTTAGTTAGTTTCTGTGTTTACATATAGATCTTATAGTTACTTTCGCCTCCACTCTTCTTGCTGAAAAGAGTACTAGTTTTACCCCATACTACTGCAGTTATTTGTTGTTTAGGTGTACCCCTCCGGCTTTATCACAGCTAAGCCTCAATTTCACACTGAGAGAACGTAAACAGCCAGGACATCCAAACAATTACATGCTAGTACGAGAGTAAATGCTAATGAAGGTAAAAGCACTACATAATTCGTATTGTTATTTGGCAATTTTCACCTCTGATCAAAAAGAAACTCGGAACAAATCAAGTTTGAACCACTTTCCTTTTGGTTTATAAAAAAAACATAAGCATTAATGTGAGATGTTATGTGTGCGTACAAATTATTACTAGGCGTTCCAAAAATTCCTCAGATTCTGAAACAATAAGAAAAATCGAAGAAAAAGTCAAAAAAATTGGCAGACGTTGATAATTCGGCAGAAACGTCCAAATGAAGATCATTTCCGAAAAAAATGCAAGATATGCAAAGATTTGAATCTCAGCTGCAGAGAAAATCAGAAATGAGGCTGGACTCGCTAAAGAAAGGAAAAACATTCGCACTGTAAATTACGAAGAAGAGAGAATCCGATAAAATAAGACAGGATTGTGAGAAAATGACGATTTTTAGATTTATAGACAAAAAATCATATCAAAAAAAAAGAAACTCACGTAGAATTTGTAGCATGCTCGTTGAAAAGGCGTTGGAAATTTCTTGGGAAAAGAGAAGGGCTTCTCCACTGGACCATATCCAATACAGCCATTTTTTGACATTCTGGCTTAAAACAAAATTTTTGAAGCCACGTTGGCATATCACGATTAAACATGAAACAAACACGAAAGCACACAAGATTCATGTGCAATCAGGTACAAAACACGAATCAGCTTGATTTTGCACTCATACTCCCAAAAAAATCTATGCCAAATGCTCAACAATCCCCCGATCCGGATAAATCGATAAGCATATGGACTACGTATATGTGATGTACGGATAACGTATGGGGAGTCGTGCGCCCGTACGAGATGAGTCTCTCGTCGTGGACCCGCCTATCCTTGTCCTAGAAAGACGTCACCCACAATTAGCTGCTGTGACGCAGTCCGAACCAGTAAACAATGCAGGTTGACGGCTAAATTAGCAAATAAATGATTTCTGATCAGAGAGGAGATTGAAGTCGAGTTTTATGATAAGTTGAAAATTTTATATTATATTTCACAATGCGATTTAGCCTTTTTTGATGGCAGAGTTCCAAGAGGGTGAGCGCATACGTCCAACAAGCTGATACATTTCCCCTAATCATTTTTCATGGGACGTTAAAAAAAGAGCATCAAGTAATGCCTACGAGCGCATCCGTGCATGACTCTTATTTAAGCCGCTGGCTAGTCTAGTAAATCTAATCGGTAAAATGTGCAATTGCAGAAAATGTGCGCATGTAGCTCCGAAATTTGACCAGATTGCAAGTATGGTTCAACGATGTTTCCTCTTTGTTGAGTACAGTTCTCATACTATTTGTTTATTTGTTTATTTGTACTATACACTCAGGGTGCACCGAAAAAAAAAAGACAAACAAACATAACATCAGCTCATCCTAGCCACCGACAGATACAAAGAGCTGAGGGTTTGCGTACTAGGGGCGCCAGTGGGCAACATAAAATCTGGTATGAGTGCACGCGAACGAAGGCCAGAAGTGAAATATGTAGCAACTGGCCTATGAATCTAGAAACCCTGCCGTCTACAAAAATTAACAAAGTACCCAAATTTGAGTGCCAGCGAGCTTACGGGCGGAAACTAGCTGACCGAACCCCTTTGAAGTAGAAGAATATTTTTGTAAGAAAGCAGGATTTACTGACAAGTGTGCAGCGAGAAAGCCAGAATTTACATAAGAGTGAATTCATGTAGGAAAATAGTGGATTCACCATCAGAAGCGACTCAAAATATGATGGATAGGTTGTGTTTTTCTGTCAAGTACGATGAGCTGAACATCGTTAGTATTGCAATTCTTGCGATTGTTAGTAACATCAAACTGAAGATAAGATCAGTTGCAGAAAATCCTTACTGACTGACTGCAGATAATTTTAACAAGGAAAATTGCATAGTTCAAAAAGTAGATCTGAACAAAATGGCGCGATAATGCGATAGTAAGAAAAGCCATTTGGTAGGACACATCCGGACAGTGGAAACCATAAACCGCAGTGGAAAGGGCTGTGGTAATTGAATGTTCTAAAAATCATCAATTTTAATCACTCTCAACACATTTATGTTTTCTAACATTTTCCTAAATTTGCAAGAATTTTCGCTACTAGTAATTTCTGAAGGAAGCAAGGCAAGCCATCGAGAGGTGCGGCAGATGAACGAATTAAAAGCTATCGAAAATAGTTTTTTGCCAAGTCTACGATAGTACATATGAAACCCACCTGTTCGTTGGCTATGGGGTATAAAGCTCCAGTACTTACTTGCTCTCATCTTGGTCTCCAAACGCAGAATACGAAAACATAATACTAGATCATTTACTACTCGCCTGTATTTTAGGCTCTGAAGCTTCAAAGTATCTAGTCTAAAACGATATGACGGTAATGACTGTGGATAGCCATCATCTGGGAAGCACCTATAGAAAACAATTCTTGTGAACGTTTTTTGAATTTTTTCTAACCTTTCAATGTCTTTTTTCAAAAAAGGGCTCCAAATAGGCGATGCATACTCCAGATGAGGCAACACACAGCTTTTATACAAATTTACAAAAAGTTTTGGATCTTTACTGTGAATACTTCTAAAAATCTTGAAAAGCAGTGAAGATGATTTTTTAATGAGGCAGTCCATATGAGCAGAAAATTTCAGTGAGTTGTCAATTAGGACACCAAGATCTCTAACAATAACAGATGCTTCAAGATCGATACCATTGTAGCTGTAGACACGCCCAGGAGAATGTCCAAGGTGCATTACTGTCGTCTTTGAGGTATTTATAGGGATATTCCACTCTTCAGACCACTGTGACATTCGATATATTGCGGTCGACAGAGCTTCAAAAGCTTCATCTTGCTGATTACTTCTGTAGCAAAAATAAATTTTTATGTCGTCAGCAAACATCTGTACTTTCACATCGGGATGAGTTTTTAAAAACGTTGGAAGTTCAGCCACATAGATCAAAAAAAGCAAGGGTGAAAGAATTCCTCCTTGAGGCACTCCACTACTACAATGGTAGCGATCCGAATAACTGTTACCTACGCGGACCGTCATCCCTCTGTCTTGGAGATAAGATGCCAGCCAAGACAGTAGAGAACCTCTGATTCCACAACTTTCAAGTTTAAGAAGAAGTTTTTGGTGATTTACCTTGTCAAAAGCCTTGGAAAAGTCGAAATAAATGATGTCGACAGAATTTCCATTATTGAGAGCAGTTATCCAATCAAATACTGAATCCAGAAGTAAAGTTGTTGTAGAGCAGCCAGGCAAAAAACCATGCTGTTCTGGTGGAATAACATGGTTACCGTCGAACCACTCATACAGCTTGGTTCGGACAACCTTCTCAAGGACTTTACCAGCAGAAGGCATGATGCTGATGGGACGAAAATTCGCTAAAGTAGTGATATTCTCTTTTTTGGGAATAGCTGTGACAAGAGCTTCTTTCCAAATTGCTGGGACCTTAGCAGTAGAAAGAGATACATTAAAAATGTACGCGAGTGGGTAACTGAGAGTAAGAGCGCACTTTCTGTATAGGATCTGTGGAATTCCGTCATAGGTGGCAGTATTCATAGACTTGAGTTTTTTCAAAACCTCAAAAACCCGCTCAGGAGTAACTTCCACAGAGCCACATGTTTCATGGACTTGCGTTGCAAGTGAAGTCAATGCAATGCTATCATGTGAAGGATGATCATATACTTTAGCAAAGAGTAGCCCCAAGGCATCAGCTTTCTCTTGGTCATCATTATAGCTATTTCCAAGGTCATCCGACAAGGTCGGTAATGAAGAATCACCTTTGACTCTTGTTCTGAGGTAGCGAAATAATTCTTTGCTTCCACGTCTAGCGAGGTGAAGTTCATGATTGCTCACAAACTTTTTGAGATGGTAATTCAGATCAAGACAGACCTTTTTGTAAAGGGGATTTGCTAATGGATCAAAAGAAGCAGAAAAAAGTCTGGATTTTTGCTCAATCAAATTTTGGATGTGAACAGGAAAGCGACGATTTGGGTTTTTTTCAGTGACAAAAGGTACGTACTTAGCCATAACATTGTATAGCACTAAACAAAATCGATAGTATAGGTCGTCAATAGAGTTATATCCCTCAAAAACCTCCGGCCAATTTGTTTGCATCAATTCGGCATTTATGTTTGAATAATCAGCTTTATAAAAATCGGGGAAAGGCAAAAAACTTTTTTTGGCGAAGCAAAAACGAGCAAAAAAGTTTATTACGTTGTGATCTGACGTGCCAAAGGGTGGAAGCGTATGCAATCCTTTCACAATATCACTTGAGGAAAAAACAAGATCAATGCCTGCTCGACCCCTAGTAGGAACATGCACATTTTGAATGAGGGCACAGGCCTGGAAGAGGGCGAGGAAATGCTCATCGTGCGGGTGTCTATTTGGAGAAATAACATCAATGTTGAAATCTCCAAGAACAATAGTCTCCACTGGTGAGGAACAGAGATCACTGACCGCGTTGACCAAATTTTCGTCATCGATTGCATTTGAATTTGGCGGGCGATACACTGTTATGATCCTAAGAGGCGACATGGAGCAAGTAGAAAAAATGTTCAGACACAAAATGTCGGATTTTAAATGATGGGAAAAAGTTGTGCGTTGGACAGAAAAGTCAGTTTTGACAAAACAACATACACCGCCACCTTTATTTCCGGTGCGGTCAGATCGAAAAACGGCGTATGGAAGATCAGTTTTGAGCTCGCAATCAGAAATCTTAGGGCTAAGCCACGTTTCCGTCACACACAAAATATCGGGAGAGTGAAAGTTCAAAAAAGCGTGGAGTAAATGCATCTTATTGACCAAACTTCTAGCATTAAATAAAAAACATGAGATGTACTCAGTGGAACCTGGCACCCTTAGACGTTTCCCTGTGGGATACGTCTAGGAAGGTCAGCAACATTTTTAATTTCTCCCTTATAAACCACCCACTCTTTAGTTCCCTTTCCTCGGTTCCTCTCCCACGCCTGCTTTCTCAAGTCGGCATCCAGTACTCGCTCAGCTGGAGTCATACTCTTCCGGATAAACACCGTGGATAAGTGAGAATTCCGAAGAAGATAGGAGTCAGCGAGTGCTTGCCTCCAGATCGAACGAGACGGGAGAACGACTTTTACTAGCCTGGGCTTAGCCGCATTCCACTTACCCATTCTGTAAATTTCTGACGGCCAACTGTCGATTTTGATGACTTCCAAAACCCGGGCCACGCTTTCATCCAATTCCCTCTTACGTTCCAGTAGTGGTAGACTTGGAGCAGCTTCAGGCAACCCCGCGATGACAATGCTTCGCTCTCTTTTTTCCGTCTCGGCATCCTTTGGCAACTTGCTACGTAGGGCGAGAACCATCTTTTCTATGATCGGATCAGCGTTTCTGTCAAGTATAGACTGGATGATTTCGTTGACAGAAAGCTCATTGTAATCAACTGAAGCATTAGAAGTTTCCAATGGGGGATTTCCCTGCGAAGGATTGCCATCCTTTTTACCTCGAAGTGATCTAGGTGCAATAGATTGCGAATTTGATCTGGTTACGCGGGCAGGCATTGGGTCGGCAGTGATCAATAACTAGAAAATTTGGAAGAAATTTGGTGGAAATGGACGAAAAATTTGTCAAATACTAGATAGAAGAACTCAAGAGATAGTGTGAAAGGAATAAGAGTTGTATTTGAGCAAGAAGAGAATAGAGTAAGCGCAAGGAAAGGATAAAACACAAAGAATGTAGAGAGCAATGGCGGATACGACCGTCCGCGGGCACGACACAGCAAGGTTATCAAAAAAATGCTAATCTTCTCTGTATTGTTCCAATTTTAGTATATGTTCAGGAATGAACATTATACTATCTCTACTACTGAGGAGCTTCACATAATGGGCGGGGGGGGGGGGGAGGCAAGGCTGGGCCGCGCAAATTTCAGTAGTTACCTACGTGTTATAAAAATGAGCGGTTTGTTTATGCTTTTAAATAACTGAAATAACTATCACAAATTTTCAAGAATTGAAATTAACTTCGTATTAAACACGGGGAAGCGGCGCCGAATCCCAAAAAATTTTCGAAAAATATCTCTCTTCCCCCCTCCCAAAATGGAAATCCTGAGACCCCCCGGTTACAAATTTATACTGAAGTATAAATTCACTCTGAGCGACCACTTATTACATACTTCAAATCTACATTCATTCCACTGACACTGAAAGCGTCTTTGACCTGCTACTCACCTAGATAAGAGACTAAACAAAAAAGGTTGGGTGACCACAGAACCTGCCTGTAGGCAGTGATTTCTTGATTTATTTACTGCTATACAGTTTATATCACATGATTCTTATGGGGATGTTTTACAAGATGAGAATGGAACAAATAGAATCTGTGCGGGAACGATAAAGATTTTTGAGATCGATTGAAATGAAGGAAATTATTATCAGCAGACTAAAAAGCCATTGTGTAAGTGCTTGGAACATTCGTATTTCAACAAATATTAAGAAATCTTTAATTTAAATAAAGCAGCAGTAAAGTGCTTATTGCTTTGACCGTGTCAAAAACAAGAACGATTAATGTGAACAGTTTTGAGGTGTTCCTTGTTTTTAGTCAAGGATTCTCGAGACATTGAGTCCAGATCTCCTGAATTTGTTCAACGAAGAATCCAGTGATTTTGCGATGGGCTAACTAATTCGTCTTCTCGCATTTCTTACTGACTGTAAGCAACATTTTAGCTTAAAGGCTTTCGCCGGGAAACTGCTTTTAATTTTGCAAAAAATTCAGGCACTACTTTTAAACCTGCGTTTGATACCAGTTTTGAATTTTTGCTCTAATGTTACGTCACAATTTTCTATGAGATTTTCGATCTTAAAGCTTTCGTATTTGGGTCACAGTACTCGTAGAACACTTCCTTTCAAATCTGTTTGGAATTACGATGCCACTCATGACCTTGCAGCGCGAACTTTGTCCCCATCAAGTTCGTTGCTAAAAGAGTTCGCTCGCAAACTTAACTTCGTATGACTACAAAGAACGACCATTGGCCAGCGGACAAATTGTAACCGAAAGAAACTGGTGTATAGTGAGGAGTCTTGATTTAGAGCACAAATTTTCAGTGCGTGGACAATCGCCCAAAACCACGTGCTAGATTGTTCACTATTGAAGTCCAGTGATCTATTTGTTTTTGATAAGACTACAATGATGTTTACTGCTGTTATGACCGAAAATGTCTAGCTGTATCCAGTCGTGTATGTCAGCAAATTGCAGACGTTATAAATTCTCAGGCACTCAAAACTGCGAAAAATTTATTGTCACTATATGTGCGTCCTCCCACTCACTAGGATATCTTCATCTGGACAACTCATAACTCAGATCTATCGAAAATCGGGTCAAAATACAATTCGCTTATCTATTGAGATGAAACTTTGTTCCATTAGGGAGATGTAGCGTAGCCAACGAAAGAAAAACTCTGTCCTCCGATCAAAATACAAAGTCTTGAAATTGTGCATTCGAGACTTTTCGGACGTGTTGTTCGCATAATACGGTTGCAATATGGAATAGATTTAGCAGGTGACCTGATGCATGTGCCAAAGACTTTTATACTGTCTGAAAATATCAAAGTAAAACCATTCAACGGAATAAACTTTCCATCTAGAATCTAGTAATTACCGCGGTTCTCATTTTGCTTCTTCTTTGCCGCGCGCACCATCCTCGTCGCGAATGCCTCGCGAAACGCCTGCGGTGGATTTTGGTGGCTTCTAGTAATACAATGCAATTGTAGAGGTAGTACAGCTCAAGATATAAGGAGAAATGAAAGGTATCCGAAACCATTGGCGTCATCTTGTAGGTTGACAAATACTCCCACGAAAATTATGCAAAGGCGGATGCCCAATTTGGGATTGCAGGGAAACTATTTCCCGTTGACGCAGACTGTAGCGATCTTGCTTTCCCTCAGTTACCTAGTTATGGGTGTGGTCACGAGGCACAAAACTTGGAAACACATACTCAACGGCCACTCTGTGCATGCAGGTGTCGGAATTTCAAGCACTTGTTTTTACGCGCAACTGTTATCGGCACCATATTTTCTCAATGCATACTATTGACTGTTAACCTATCTTATTTGATGTCTTTCTGCTTGTGTAGAAAGATTGGAGTCGCTTTATCTGGTCATTCAAGTCCATATAATTCCAAAGCAATCTACGTAAGAGAGGCCAGAAATGCATGAAAGAGATGCAAAACACAAACAATGCAAAGCAAGGCACAACGACTCGTAATAGTTAGTGAAGTATCCACAAACCAGGTTGACCCGACCAATCATTGGAGTGAAGAGATTTGTGATGTCAATAATATCAAAAGCACCTCGTACAAAAAATCGGTAACTATGACTAGAAGGCGAAGTAAACACGTACAGTACAGAAGGAAAATTCACAGCTAGAAAAGATTACTCTTCATCGCAAACACCATCTCCAACAATGATGAGTTGTTTCTTTGGAATCGTCTTTGCTACACGATTGCTGCGACGAATAGGTACATTGATGGCAACAGGCTCATCTGAATCATATTTCAAATGTCATACAGCAGATATCCTAGAGTCTCAACAAACCTTCATTTCGTTCAAGTACAAATTCATCGTCATCGTGGTTACCTCTCTTAGCACCTTTGTTCATTTTCTGTCTTCGAGCAGTCACGTTCGATGTTGGCCTACGCCCTCTTCTCTGAAAAACAATTCACAAGATGTCACATAATCATCGATTTTACATTGAGTGATATCATTCGTATTCCCGATATCATGAAAATTCTGGTGAACTTCTAGAAATAAAGATGCAAAAAGTACCCGTTTGGTCGGCATTGGCGTTTTCGACGACATTGACGACTTTGAAGTGCGTCCTTCCTCGTGCTGATGCGGATTAATGAAGATAACTTCGTCATCGGAATCTTGCTGCTCAGCTTTGACTTCCACTGGTTCTTGAATGCAGCTAATCAAAAAAGCAAAAGCAAGAGTAGGCACAACTTTGTTCTGGTGGAGGAGCAGCAGCTTGCGGCGGCCTTTTCTGTACCTCATCGTCGGTCAGAACCTCTTCAATAGCCACAGTTTGTTCGCTCTGCATAATAGCACGGCCGAGTCTATCTGCCTAAACGGTTTGGAACATTTCAGAAAAATAGGTAAGCATCATACCCTAATACGAGATAATGCATGAAGGTTCCTTGCGATGTTCCACACTGTCACTCCAGCCTAAAACAATGTGTTAATGAATGCTAGAAATCCTCAAGAACTCGATTATCTATACGCATGTGCCGATTCACGTGCGCACCCCCAGTATTCAGTGGCTGTCAGAGTGCTCATCATGACTTCAGAATCCCTTATAAGCATAACTACGGTTACAAGTACGGTACGGTATGGTATTACGGTTACGGTTGTTCGGTGAATATGATACTGCTGTAACCAGTGTTACCGTTGTTTATTACTTTTCTACTACCGTTGCTACGGCGTTGCGCTTTGCACAAACGACATCAGCTTCGTTCCGTCCGATTCCGTCGGCTGATGGCTACATTTGCCGTTTATCTTTTTTCTGGTGTAAAATAAAACGTAGTCACCAGTCGATGGTCGCGGACCGAAGTTTGTATTGCAAGGCCTTCATTTGAAGAGGAACACCAGTACAATGTTAAAACGGGTGCGATGACAGCATAATTGATAGCTTCGGTTGCAGCGGTTACGTATGGCCGAACCCTAAGAACCTCGGGCATTATGCTTGCGATTATATCACCTCGCGGTTTTCCTGACAAAACAACTGTAAACAGTGCATGCCAACTTCTCGCATTTCGATTGTGATAGGTAGTTAGTCCTGAATAGTCGTCGAAATATTATCACAACCGAATTGCAAGATGATCGACATGCTAGACTCGTAACAGCTGTATTTGGGAGAATCGCAAAGCGCTGAAACCACGAGCACTGTACCCGAGGCTCAATCTCATGCATGGAAATCCTTGCGGCAAGGGGCGCGACCCCAATGATGAAAAAGTGTATAAGAAAGCTTATAAAAGTAGCTGTAAAACAACATGAGAGGAGCATGAGTTTGCTAGTGCTGATCAAAAAATGATTATATGTCACATAAAAACTGTAAGAAGGCTAATTTACGATCTCTGAAGGCTATAGCTGAACTAACCGCGACAGCCAATTCTGGACCATGTGTCATGACGTTGTCGACCATAGTATCAACGTAGACATCCATCTTCTTTTCGTGACGTTTTATAAATGGTGCGAGTACCTGAGGAAAACATCAGTTATAAGAAATACCGTAGGATGAAAATTACCTTATCGAATACAAACTGCGCCCCTGCAGTGTACGGATTGACAGCCCAAAGCAAAAAGAGAAGCTTTCCAAATTCATAGAATGGGATAAAGTAGCTGATGAAAATCGAGTCAAGCACAGCGTCCACAGCGAGAAACGAGCCAAACACTGCCCAGTACTTGGACCAGTACGACTTAAGTAAGATTGTGCAAAATCTGAATGATCGAGGTTCTAAAGATGCGACAACTCACAAGCATCTTTTGAGTAGGTTTCTTTATCGTCTTGTAGGAATAAAATACGGGAATAAGGGCGCCAACAAAGGCTGAAGCGAGATGACAGAGCAACGAGAACATTCTGAAACAGCTGGAATATGGAAAGTTTAAACATTTCTATATAGACAGACCGTACAGCGGCACCACTTGAGACGAATATGAGTATTCAAAGACCGTGAGCATTCCCAGATATGCAGAGAGATAATGATAATTATCCAGTAAACAGTACATACTGATAAAATCTCAAGGAAGAGTTGAGGAAGGTTTGAAAGCACTTATCTTCATTCTGAAACGGAGAAAGTCGAGTACGCTTTGCACACATCATCTAAACAAGCTAATCTTGTACTTGACAAGTTATACTTGTTCTAATCTGGTTCCAAGAAGTAAATAATCCTAGATGAGACAGATTTCGCGTGCAAACTTGTCACCGCACGTCCAGGCTTGTTTAGACAATTGTACAAAGCGTGCTTGAGTTTCCCAGCGTCCGTATGAATGATAACAACTTTGAATCAGCAATAAGGGTGTGGAAGTGAGCCCAGGTAGAGAAACAAACTTAGCAAAATTGAGTTTCTTCAATGGAAACTTAAAACGGTCTCAGAAGTCGTTTTATCATGTTTCGTTGTACTCACAACAACTTTGACGCTAACTCTACTACGATTTTAACGATTCTTTTCGTGAAAAGGATAAGCTTAGCGAACAGGAAAGAAGATGACTTTTTCGAAATATTTTCTTTGGCGCGTTAGCAGATTGGCGGCGGAGCGTGTTAACCACCTGACGATCAAGCTTGAACAACGGGCCCACCTCTGGTCTTTCATCTGTGACCGTTGTGCGAGCAAATTATCATTAAAGAGAAGCACTTGATATGGTTTGCCAGCGTTGAATAAAAGGTACTGTGCACTGTGACTTTTTCAACTGAGGTGAAATAAGCACAAAAATTGACCATATAGCTCGTGAAACAGCGTAGACTCGGCGTGATGCTTTAAAATAGTTTACAAATCGAATGACGCATCACAAACTTGATGGTTTCAAAAACGAATATTGATTTAAGAAGGCAGTATGCTACCGTGTACAACCTATGAGGTCAGCTTTGCAAATGAGCTTGGTTATCACACAATTTTGGTAAACACTTACTAGGGAAGGATACTTGATCGAAGTGGCGTTTCTATATGAGATGTACAATATTTTATAGAGCATAGAACGCTGATTTCAAATCTGCTTTCGGCATCTGCAAAGCGCTTCTGGGAGGGGAGTTTTGAGAATTTTTTGAGTTAAGAATTCAATGATTTGGCTAAGATAGAGATAGGTGTTGAGGTCTTTCCGATGCTTGAGAGGACTAGTGGCTATTATGAGTTTGTTAGATTGAAGGTCTTTATTACATGAAACGTCCGATAGTAATCATGGTCCCATTTGAGCTCCGGGCCAGGGTTCTGAATGATTTTATTGTAACGGCGCTTTTAATTTTTGCATCAAAAAATTTCCATAACACCTCTCCCAGAAGAACTCAGCGTTCCATGCTCTAGAAAACATTATACACTCCGTATGGAAACGCCACTTTGACCAAGTATCCAACCCTTGTTAGACGCCCTTGAGTTGTTTTAAAAGCTCTACCCGTTTTCGAGATTCGAGCTTGATTCACCATACTTTTTCTAGAATTATTAGAGCGTAGTAAAGTGTGTTATAATCACCAAATCTGCAACTCTATGCATATTCAAAAGTGATTGTAGCTAGAAGAGAATGATTTTATAGGCGAAAATTGCCAAGCATCCTTTTTTAGGAACCTCTACTTTGAAAAACCATAATTTTTGAAAGCATACATTAGGCTGCTGCATAAGTTCTGTCCGATTTTTTTGCCATATGTTTGAAGCAGCTGTTCTAAGAGAATTTTCTCTGATGCGTATTGTTAGTATCATTAGAAAATGCTTTTCTTGCTAACAAATGTCAAATTTCAATAAATTTCCTAGTGTAAGGAGATTTCAAGCTTAAATCTCCAAGTGGCCGAGGTACGTTCTCACCCTAAAAGTATGTTCTTGCGAGGAAATCTCAAATCTCAAGTCTCAACACATAAAAACTAAGATCTTGGAAAAAAGTTGACTTTGAATGAAGTTATGACATTTTGAACTCAAAAAAATTCAAATCGGGCAGAACTTATGCAGTAGCCTAATAAACTATTCATAAGGCCCATGATGGAGTATGAAAATGTTGTATTTTATCTTTATTTGCGCAAAACAATCGCTGATATGGGGAAGGTACAAAACAATTTCACGCGCAAACTTTCTCTTCGGCAACTAACTACAGATATGACTTCATACCGGACAGTAAGAAATGTAGTCTCGTATTGAAACTTTCTTCTCTCTCATAGAAGGCGAAAATTTATCTCCTAATGCTTTAAGTCTCTTTTCCCCACGAGGGGACCCAATACGGTGGATGTAGGAAACTAGTTATTTCCAGGTCAAGGGGTTCGGAGAAAGTTTTTCACATGCCGCGTCGCTCATGACACGGGCAAGCTTCTTAGAAAACGATTATTTCCTGCTAAGTTGTCTTGTTCAAGATTGTTCCAAGGAATTACATTCACACAACAATATTGTTACTAACACGGGTTTTAATGCTATTATCTAAGTTTTCCAATTAATGTGTTCTTTTTATGGTTTGCCATAGAGGTAACCCTATGAAATAAATGAAATAAAATGAAACTCTATTTGGACCGTAGTAGATCGTAGACACTGCTCATTTGATGTCAATAGTCGGCTGAGCAGAAGCTACTAGCTTTGGATTTCATCGAAATTTTCGAAGACTTTCTGCAGAAGAATTCGAAAGGAACCACTTATCATTCATTCTATGACCAGGAGACGCGAGACCGCATTGCAGACATTGTTGAACAAGCCTAATTCTTCTATTTATTTTTCATCTCTCAATAGTCTTCTTTTTAGATTCTTGCTCTTGTCCATGCGGTTCACTAACTTTTTCGTATGACGGTTTCATGGCACGCGACTCTACCTGTATCATGCTGATCCTTACTCTGGGCTGATTGTGGTCGAGGGATGCGGAATGAATGCTTTGTTGGACTTTACTTTATGCTAGATCAGACTTTACCACTTCATTGGACCTTGGTTCAAATTATTGCCGTTCTCTGTTTGTTTTCTTTTAACACTTTCATGCCTCACGCGTTAGTTTGGGTCTGGTTCCGTCTTATCACCTCAGTTATGCTTGGGCTAGCTTGTTTGGGCTTGAGACTTTTGCATTGTGCAACTTCTATCGGAGTTCTGTTCTCTCCCCAGAGTTTTGGTTGGGCGGGTTTTATCAATATTACTACCAATACACCTGCTTCCAACATATACAATTGCTTATGTTGAATAAGAGCATTTTTTGCTAAGAGCAGGGGACATGAGACAGACTCCATTGAACCTCTATACCTGTGATGACTACATACATGCCTAAACAAGCTCATTCCCTTTCCATTCCCAGAAAGATTTTGCGGACTGGACTTGAACTGATTCAGTGGGGAGTTTGCCTTTTTGTTTTATTTTTTTTTTGTTGTTGGTTGTTTGGTGTGATGCTTCGTTCTTCTGTTATGGGCGCGCCTTGTGCGTATTAAATAAATAAATAAATAAATAAATAAATAATCGTGTACTTAGAGGTTTATACGTGCTATTTTTCCTCGTCCAGCTTTATTCACTCTTGGAAACAGGGAAGAACAAACTCAAACTTGTTAAAACAATGTCCGCAATGCGGTCTCACGTCTCCTAGTCATGGAATAGATGATATTTTGCTTTTTCTAGTAGAAAATGCACTCTTTTGGACTTTTTGGTTTTGTTCACCGCTAATAATCGAAAAAATTCTTTTGTTTTTTAGTCAGTAATGTATTAGTCACGATTTCACCCTTTAGAGCAAAAGTTGTGTATTGTGCTTGCGAGATTTTTGTGCGACTTATAGAGACCATTAAATATAGGCCATGTTTAAGCATAACATCTGTGACAAATTTTTTCTAAAATCATAACTATTAGGGTGTCACATAATTTTTTTTACCGTTTTTACCCCAAACATCAGCATTTCTCGAGAACTGCGACACCTTGAAAGTTTATAAATACATGGTCGTACTTCTTCTGTATGCATGAACTAAATGATCACGTGCGTGGGAGGAGCTCAGCATGTTTAGGGACGGAGTTTGCCATTCTACCCCCTTCATTTTTTCCTTTATTTCTAGACATGGAAAAAAGACGAAAATAGCACAATTGAATGTGCGATGCGTCAAGCATACGCTAGGATAAATGGGAAATTTTAAAGACATTTTGGGGCGGAGATACGATTTTTGAAGGAAATGTTCATTTTCGACTGCTATCAGATTTCAGCTCAGAACTTCCGGTGAAATACGATTTGGGAGGATTCTTCATAGCCATCTTGTAGAGATTGCTTTGTCCTGTCCAACGATTACTCAAGCCACACCAACTGAAGGAAAAATACAATGAGACGACGGTTGTAGTAAAAACGGTAAAAAATTATGGGACATCCCAACAGATGAGCATTTTGTTGCACAAGTTCCAGTAAGCATAACGTAAATCACCGACTCTTTCACAGATCAACGATCATTCATAGAACAGAGAACAGGGAACAACGAACATTCGATAAAGTGCGTGATTGAGCAAAAAAACTTCAACAGCCTTTCTTAGGCATCTCCAAACTTGTTTTTCTTAATGATTTTTATTTCTTGGACTAGTCCAAGATCTTATCGTCTCCTCATAAGCTAAAAATTCTCCTGTGTTCATGTGTTTTAAAGTGAATCTTTTGCTCGTTGTTTTCGCTCTCTATCGCGATAAGCGCCATCGCTCTGGACCGTTATCATTCCTACAAAAACATAAGCAAGAGTCCAATGCAGCTTACTAATTACATTCTATTTATCAGCTGCAGGAGCGTAACAAAGAATGCTTGTAGCTCAATCATCAGCTCAAGACGATCTATCGCTTTCTTTCTTATATATCTTTCTTCATCGCTTTCGTTTTGGATAGTAAGCAAGATCTGTATCAACTGAAGAAGGCGAATTTTCAGAGAAAATACATAAACGATAGCAGTAAGGTACGGAAGGGCCACGGTATGAAGTC